ACAACACGCAAGATAGAAAGAGAGACGTGAGAAGGAAAGCATGCAAGGAGGCTCACTCATTGCCCGGGCAACCGAACCCGCGACCAGATGGAGCGCGCACTCGGATCACGTGCTCGATGAAGCCAATGAGCGCGACCACAACGCGTTCCGGATTTTGACATTTTGTGGGCCTTCCGATGGTGCTACAGAAACGTCATCGCCATTCAAGAGGAAAGAAAATGGCCTTTCGAAAGTGCTTGAGATCACCGTGCTCGGCCGCTCTGCTTGCAATCGAAAATTCTTGAAGTTTTGCGATTTTTGTTGCATTTTCAGCGGTTTTTGGGGCACAATTATTTAAAGCCGAAAGCCTTACTTGACCCATTTTGTGAAAAGGCGTTGGCGTTGAGCCCGAAAAATGGTCATAAAAATAAGTCACTAAGCACGCACCACTCAAGGTCAATACGGACGCACCTCAGAAAAAAAACACAAAGAAAAGCACAAAAATGCAGGTGCTGCATCACGGAAGGCGGCGGGTGCGCTCAAGGTCAAAGCGGACGCGCCTCAGAAATAAAACACAAAGAAAAGCACAGCATTGCAGATGCTTCGTCACGGAAGCCATCAGGAAGCCGGCGGGGTTCGCCACGCCTGCGCAGCGGGGGAGCATGATGTCACCTCTGGAGCACCGTGTGAAAAAGAAAGACGTGGTTCTCTGCTTGTAGGAATGCGCTGCGTGTCTACATGTAAGCAGTCTTAAGTGTCTCTGCCAAATTTTTAGTAATTCGCTGCTAATTTTGCATCAACTAGGAACCCAGTAAAGTAAAGAAATTTTAATGGCTAGTTCATTATAACTAGGGATTCAACGAACCTTCTGAAGTTTGAGTCTGAAAGGTTGTGAAATGTTCCAACCTCGCTAAGGTTCGAAGTTAAAAAGTTTGCAACTCTAGAACCCTGCTGAGGTTTGAATTAGAATAATTTGAAAATGGTAAGGTTTCTGAAAGTTTGAATTCGAAGATATCAATTTCTTTTTTTTTTTAGATAGTTTGAAAATTTAAAACATTTAGAATTTATTTAAGTTTCAAGTTCGAAAAATCAAATATTTCAAATTTTTTCGAGGTACAAGTTAGAAAAGGTCGGAAATTTCGATTTTAAGTTCCAAGTCTGAATTTCATAGATGGAAATCAAATTCCGCAATTTCAAACTAAGTTCTCATGAATTCATCTAAAAAAAATCACTAAATGTGCTACTAATTCAACTGAAAACGTTGCCGATTTTTCTGACGCCGTGATTATACTACTCAGTGCTGTGGTACTGACGGTACTACCTGTATTACTAAGTATTTGTCGTAACTTATGAATTAAGCGTTGAACTGGTTGAACGGTTCATAGAAAAGCCCTGAGGCGGTCAGATGAACATACTTCCTACTTATTTGCAAACTAGTAGCAATCTGATCAAACGTCGCCTAAATGCAATGCTGGCTTAATCTTAAGATAACTAAATATGCAAGACACTCCCAGCAAAGAACCTCTGTTGAATTTCAAGCCTGCAGATCAGGTATCTGTTGACCCACAGGTTACCTCGGGTCAACCTACGGAGTTGTGCGCGGGAGAGGCTTGCAGTGATGTGATTGGCCTAAGCCGTTTTGGAGCACTTTTCAGAGCAGCCAAAACATTCTTTTGGAGCAGCAAAAGTGGCCTTTGGAGCAGCCCAAACAGTGTTTTGGAGTAGTAAAGGTGGCTTTTGGAGCAGCCAAAATAGTGTTTTGAAGCAGCAAAAAGCGGCTTTTGGAGCAGATATTCAGAGAAAAACAAAAATATTTGTTTTAAGTGCTGGACAAATGAAGGGCACATTGCTTGCCGCAATAAAAATAATGGTTAAGTTAGACCACCTGGGAGTCTTTCAACATGTTAACTGAAATGCCAATGACATGACAAATCTTGCAATGCTTCAGTTAAGGGGGAACACTGGTCTTGGAGCTTTTTTTCTTATTTTATGACGAAACTCAATGAAACTGCACAAGCTTGTTCAGCTTTTTGTGCTGATTTCATATATCTGGTAATTTCTTGATTCAGTAGAATTGTCCTGAAGATAATTAAAACTTACCTGCCTTATTTTGGAGGAATGATAGGGAAAAAACTGCTCAACAAAATATCCTTTTTAACACATGGCCAGATACTACGAAGTGTAAAGAATACAATGTTGGAAGTCCTTTTAAGATAAACCCATTATTAGTGATTTTACATCATATTGAAGTTCAGTGCTCAATGCATGGCTAACAAGTAATAAAACAAAAGATCAAATAAAAAATTGTCTAGACTTATATTAAAAAATCTGCTCTCATCATTGTATGCTTCACACAGTTAGCAGCACATTTCAAGAAAGGTTATATCTCTGACTGCTGTAGATGCTGAGATATCCCTCCTGCAAATTTTCAACGAGTCCAAAAATTGTGTTATGTGAACACAATGTTTTAGAGTCAACTTTACTGCACATTCAGCCCGCGTAGACATTATAAATTGATTTATAGCTTGAATATTTATCCACGAAATTAGAAGCGTGGTAGATTCAGAAGAACAACAGCCATCGCCATTTTCAAAAGAATGCAGTTTTAGGAAGTTTTTGGCTCTAAAGACGCATGTCCCCCCTTAAATGATAGATACCTACGTACCCGCTATAGATAAATAAGAGCCAAACTGCACATATTAAATTTATTTGAAAATAACCAGATTAGTAGTAAATATCAAAGCATAAAGTTGACTAGTTATACAATATAATAATTGGAAGCAGTCTCCGACTGTTGAAGCATGTAACTACTGCAGTGAAATGCGAAACTGTACACAAGAAAAAGGCGCAGTACGACTAGCGGGTGCTTTTCCTTTTTGAAACTTTCTGCGCGGCTGCTGCAAGCCTCGCTTTGCCTTCGGCAGGTAATGAATGTCCACTTTCAATGTCTCCAAAAGAGACATTGAGACATCCTATAACTGTACAGTGCTGTAGGCGTCGCATAGCAATTCCGAAAAACCGATTGCCACCGTTTTACTGATTCCCGATGTGCCAGATTTCTTGTCAAAAGCAAACAAACGTAAAGCAAACACAGAGAAAAAAATAACCTGAACGCATAGACACAAGACGTCGCGAGTCAGGGTCAAAAAGTTCATGGAACGGTCTGTGCAACGACTGAACTCGAGACAAGCAAAAAAGGGAAAAAAGGCAAAAAAGGCAATGTCCGCACGCTGAACCCGCGCAGCGGGTTCAGCGTGCGGACATTGTCTTTTTTGCTTTAGCTCACTTCTCTTCACCAACTTTCTTTCGCGGTAGATTTTCCACGTACCGGGGTCCCTCTCCAAAGAAAGCCCACCGCAAGAGAAACCAAGATAATCAATACTTCGACATAACAGTCTTTGAGTTAAAAAGGGATTTTGTAGTAGCGCATGATTTAAACAAGAACAGGAATGTTGATGACCTTGCGGCGGTCCTTACGTTTCAGTTTAGAAAGCGCCATATCTGCAGCGACGTGGGGATGGCAACACCCAATGTCATGCAACCACAGTGACTGGAAGGCAGGGACCAAATATAGTTTTCCCACAGCTGTTGCTTTTAGGAGCGAGTGCTTCAGCTCACAAAGTAATTCTTGCCTCGCAAAAACATGGTTTCGTTTCAGAGCACGACGGCATGGCTGGTATCCGGCACGCTAGCATCGGAGCGTCCGCACACGCTTGCATCTATCGCAACAAAAATTTTAAAAAGACGCGAAACGAGACTTGTGAGAAACAAGAGTGACGAGAGCGCGAAACGAGAGACGGCGGGAAAAACCATACAAGGGGACTGGATGGACGACTTTGTGTAGGGAGGCCGCTTGCACCACCTAGCTCACGCATGCTCAATTTGGTTCTCAGTTTCGTTTCGGTTTTGAAAGGCAACCGAAATTGGTCCTTTGGCGCAGGCTTGGCACAGATTACTCATATTTGGGCAAAATGTAGCAGGATGTATCAGGGTTAGTCCCTTGGCGCAGTTTGGCGCAATGGGCGCAGCAATCACATCACTGGGCTTGTGCGGAAGTCGAAAGAAAAAGGTGTGAGGTACAAGGCCGAGGCCGCCCCAAAGCGAACATTCAGCGCTTGGTTCGAACTTTGTCAAACTTTGTTCAGAAGTTCGAAGTTTGTTGAACATTTGAACTCAAAAGGTTCGAAAATCGTCGAACTTCTTAGCGTGAAAGGTTAAAAAATGTTGATATTCCATGCGTGAAAATCGGAGGTTCGAAAACAATAAAATTTCTCAGCGCCAAAAATTAGGAAGTTTGAAAATCGTCGAATTTTTTATGTAATATTCTGACATTTCGAAACTTTGCAAACCTTTCAAACCCCTTGGTTCAATCTTCGAACCTCAGGTTCACAAAAAGTTGACGGCATCTCTAATTATAACATAAAGAACAGAAAAAAATCTTTCACAAACACACATTTTTGGGGGTTTTCCGATTTTGAAACTTGCTACTGACTTGCCCCTTTCAAATCAGAATGTTGTTCTAACACCAAAACTCCCCAAAAGTTTATTTCATAGAACTTGCATTTTTGGCAGATATAGATTGCAAGCACCTCTCCACAAAGTGTCAATTAGAAATTTGATTGTAATGCATAAACATGTTGTACAGATGCACTGTCCAAGTGAAATTAAGTGGACCGAAACTTCAAGTGCTTTTTTTCTATAATTTGAGATTTTTGCCAGGCAAGAGGCCTTTAGAATGTTATCTATGTCACTTCCATAAACTTGGTATCCTTGAATTTGTCGTTAATAGACTTTTCTGACAATGCTATTTGTTTTGCTCTATTATTTGCTAGACTAATTCACATTAAACTTTAGAGAAGGGAATATGACATCTGAAAGTTTATAAACCATAATTAATTTGTGCATTTCAAGACGCCTTCAGAAGAACTGAATTAGTATAAGCTAAAGAGGTCTCATGCAATGCAACCATTTCTCCTTGATTATAAAAGAATGTCCCTCGACAAGAACAGAAGTGTACCTACCATTACCGATTCAGCAACATTTTGAGGCACCTTCCTAGAGGTCATTCCTTGGCTCTCCGAGACAGAAAGCACAGGCTTTGGACTGGGAGCCACTTCTTCAGCGACCACTTCTTCAATGTGATCCGCAAGATTGGAGGCACTGCGACAAAAAAGAGCATGCATAAGAATTACATGGCTACCTCCGAGATGTTGCACTGCAAAAGCTTCTACAGAGGCAAAAGTAAAGGATTGTGATTAACAAAACTGACACTCCCCTCAAACAAAAAAGAAGACATTTTCAGAAAGTTGACATCAAAGAACATCAGGAATACAGTGATGTCTCGTTAACATGGACACCTCCGTTCCCGTAAAAAAATCGCCCATAATGTGAGTTGTCCATAATACTCAGACAAAAATGCATGTATTTTCTCGGTTTGTCCCCGAAAGCGGTGACCATATAGCGGAGTATCCATATTAATGGCGTGCCACCTTCCCTTAATTTCCTTTCCTCCTCACCCCTTCAGGTCAGCGTGGCAACAGTCGCGGTTGTTGACGGTTTCACACTGCACCGCCTCACAAATGGTTCTCATTCAGGTGGGGAGAAGAGTAGAAGAGACATGACTGTAGTAGTATAAATCCATTTCTTTTTGGCAACTTTTTTAAAAATTTCATCTACATACACTCAGACAAGAAACCCCCATATAAGAGGAAGACGAACAAGAGTGAGCAACTCTCCAGCAATAACAGGGTGTGCCTCTCGGCTGCCCAGTCTTCAGTATGAGCAAGTTGTCCTCGAAAGTGCTTCGGTACCGATGATGTCGGTACCGAAGCACTTTAAAGGGCCATGGGTTGTGCTGATGTACGACTACACTTCCCCAAGCTACAAGCATGAATGACTTCCAACCAGCTGGCCGCAACAAGCTCCCATAAAGTTCAAAAAGGCCCACGGGAAGTTGCTCAAAGGCACCTGTCAGCGTCGTCGAGTGGGTCCAACAGGCAGAGGGGTTCCATGGCCTCTGCAGGGTTCAGGGGGCTGGCCACGATGGGGGCACAGTCCAACTCTGCCAGAGCAGACGTCGATGCCGAGGGAGTGGCAGCACTTTCCGAGCCACCCGAAGAGGAGGTCGAGGACGTATGGGTCCGTGTCCATGTTTCTCCCGCGTCCACAGTGCTGCTCGTCTCCCTGCCATCTTCCATCAGGTCAGTGACGTCTCTGATCACGGGACCTTCTGAGATTTGGCTGGCAGGCTGAGAAGAGAGCAGATCGCAAACGTGGAACAGTTGTACCATTCCTTCATTGTGCCCACCCCGGCCACTCATAATGCAGTTCTCCAATGACTTTCCTGCCGCTATAGGTAGTAAAACACAGTACGCACTAAAGTAGAAGTCCTCTACAAGTGAGTGCTTGTCAAAACAAACAAAAATTAAAAAAAAAAAAAAAAACTTACAAATTTCGGGAGAATAAACAAACACGCACCGAGCTAACTTGGTAATCGGGAGTGCTGATCTGTCCATCAGCAGCAGCAACGAATGATGACTTCTTGAGCCGCGGCGCCTTGGCGCTGGAACTGTCATGCAGCATGAGGGGGAGCTTGCGCTTGACCGTGATGTTACGGTTTGCTTGCACCAAAGTCACCAAGAACTGGATCAGCTGCAGGTCAGGAGAAAAAGTTAATTTTTCGAACCCCGCCTTTCTCGCTTACGACAACACCACGGCACATTTAGATCACAGAAACTGCAGACAGAGAAAGCCTCAGAACATTAAAGAATCGGGACTGCATAATTTACAGCAAGTTCCATAAATGTGCAGGTTTACAGTTGTCAGTCACTCCTGACCAAGAGACCAAGCCGGCACCAAAATGTTGGGATTCATGTTTATGATTAAACTTCCAGTTACACTCCATTTCACAAAATGCTGCAGTGTTGACAAAGGCACGGGTGCGAGCATGCGGCTTTGGAAAGATTTGGAAAGTGCCTTCTGCGGACGAGCTCTCATGCAAACAGAGCTATTCTGCTCAGTTAAGTTCACAGGCCTGTGTCTGCACTGTATGCACTCGTGAGATTGAGTAGAGTTTGCTCATTCGCAATTCTGACGAAGGCACGGGAGGGGGCACCTTCTCGACTATCTGCTGCTGCTTGTGGTGCTTCTGGCGAAGCACGGCCACCTCCCGCCAGAGGGCCTCATTCTCCTTCTTCATGTCCGTGAGCAGCTGATCCACATGCTCCTGGCGCCCCTGCATGCTGCCCACGTCCGACAGCAGCTCCTTGAGCACATCGCCATGCACACGGCTGTCCTCAGGGCCCCCGTTGCGTCCCGCAGGCACCTACCGAGGATGCACACTTGGACAGTGAGGACATGTTCGGGGATCAATAGAGAGAATGGTGTAACTACCCTTTTCGTTTCTTCTTTAATGCGTAATCAACGAGCCTAGTCAGCCCTTTCGGTTGACACACAAAACTACCGGTGGACCAAATCAGATTGAGTCTTGGTTCGGCAAGATTCAGCACTTGCCCAACCTTCCAGAGAAGGTAAAGATACGGCGCAAGTTTGGCCAAGATACATCGGCGAGTGCCACAGTTCAGGCTTGCAACTCTGTGTGGGGCTGTGGCATCTCTAGATGAAAAATATTGCAAAATAAACAATATTTAAAAAATAAAGCCTGCACAAAAAACGTCCACCGTAACTGCGGACAGAGGAACACATCCGCAACAAATAGTTATTTAGAATCATACTGCTCTGTTATGTCACTAAAGGGTGGAACACACACATAAGAAAATACAGCGAAAGTCTCAAGAAATTCGAGATGCGAAACCAACAAAACTTGTTTTTGTAATTTCAATGTGCCTATAACTTAAAATAAAGTGAATTTCGAAAAAAGAAAAGTTTCACTAAGTTACTATGTTCAGTGCGCTCAGGCTCGGTGCAAATTGAAGACCAGTAAAAAAAGTTGTTGCAGAGCCCCTTTAAGACTGCTTACGTGTAGGAATGCGAAAGCATTCGTATATGTGCCGTATTTCTCTATCCTCTGCAGAGGCCGGCCGGCAGGGCTCTGAGCGGCGTCGCGTCTGCTGCTGCGGCGGGCCGCGAGAGCAGCGCCAAAAGTGTGGGGTGGCGTTCCTTGGAACAATCCAGCCCGCGGGCCACGTCGCAGACATTTTAACAGCCGTCCCGCGGAGGGAAGTTTTCAGCCATTTTTTAGCGGTTACAGTGTGGAGAAAATTTCTCTACCATTTGTCGCAGTTACGGACAACTCCGGCTCTGCTCCATGGGACAGTTAATGCTTTCGCATTAAAACTCGAAACATAAAACATGCAACCATACAATAAAATAAAAAAAAAATTAAAAAAAAGTACCAGTATTTACTAGCAGAAATCAAAAATATGCTTTCAACAAAACTTATTCGCAATTGAGGCACAGTAAATATCCTAATTTTATTTCAGTTGTCGTCATGTTGCGATCCTGATTGAGCGATGGCACTTAAAACTTCTCCCAACAGCTTCGAGTTGCTCGTTATTTTTTCTATCAGGGCCAATCCTAGCAAATCATGTTGCATCACAAGCATCTAGGAACAAATTGTCAGCAGCTCCAGATTTGCAAGGAAAATTGCCCATCTGAAGCGCATCTAAAATACCCTTGCTTCTACACTTCCGTGCTCCCCTCAACATCATACATACAAATAGCAAGTCTGTCAAAATTGGACCAAAGCAGACAAAGAGAAAATGCACTTGCAATGCATAGAGCAAATGGTTACAGATCATTTCCCCTTGCACAGTCGCATTAATTTGAAGAGCCAGTTTTATAAATTTACAATACACCTATTATTCTTTATTTTATGTCGAAGAAAGTGGCAACATGCATTTAAGCTGCATAAATGTTTCTTTCAAAGCTGTACATATATACCCAGGCCTTCCACTGTGCACTTGAGATATAAAATGGGTATGGGACCAATCCGCAGACTGCTTGCGTACATTCAAAGTACACAGCTCACAAGAAAAGTAAGCGAACTATAGAACGATGGGCTTAAGGGAATAGCTCACCTTGCGCTTGATGAACTCAAGCATGCACTCCTGGCCACGGATGAAAAAGTTGTGGAAGAATTCAATGCTTTCTCGATCAGACTTGAGAGCACCTTGGTCAATGTTAGCTACCTTACGGAAGCCATCTGCAAGGGTAACAAGTCTCACATGTCACAAAGTACTTAAAGTCAAAGTTGCGGGTTTTACGTGCCAAACCAACAACGGACATCTGGCAAGCCCCAGCGGAGGACTAAGGATTAATTTCGACCATCTAGTGATCTTTTGACGTGAAACCAAAAACTCGGTTACCACAGCGCCTTCTCCGCAATAACCCTCCGTCAGATTGCAGGCACCTCAGCCGGGATTCTAACCCGCTACCTGGGGATCCGGAGGCCGGCACTTTGCCGCGGAGCCACCGAGGCGGCTGTCACAAAGTACCTGGCTCACGAGTAATTTGTGACATAATGCTTCACAATGGAAGCTTTTATTAAGCACACTACACCAAGTCAAGCTCCACTTAGGACTGCATGTGGCTGCATACTTGACTACCATAATATCCTAAAAGATAGCCCACCCTGATTTTTTGGCATGGTTTTCTATTATCCTAATGGCTTTAGTTGAACTCAGTTTTGCACACTGAAAGTTAACCCACCCCGTATTTTCGCTTAATATGCTCCCAGTTTTAGGTGGGCTACCCTCGGGATATTACGGTATGTCAGTGAAGAGATTAACGTTGCTATTTTATGACACCTTTAGGTTACAAGCAAAAGTAGGACTACTAAGTTTATTTAGGCAGGTGAGCAAGCATACATTGACTTTTCTGTTTTGGTGTCAAATATTTTAACCTCTTATAAGTAGCCTATTTTCTTCACATATTACCCTATAGTTATTGGAACTTTGTGAAAATAAGCTCATCTCACATTCAGAGTGCTGGCAGGAATGGCCAACTTACACATGTTAAGTTGCCTGATGAAGCTAGCCATGTTGCTGTGCTTGAAGTAGAGTGGAAGCAACTCCTTCGCAAACTGTGTCTGGTTGTGGATAATAAAACTCTGGCCATTCTGTAAAAAGACAAACAAGAATAACACATTTTTGCTGCAAACAGCAGTGACTTTCATAGATTTCTCAAAGCTCATTGTGAGCATTATTGTTCTGTGCTAAATAAAACATTACCAAAACAAGTTTGAAATTTGGACTGTGCCTAAAACTGTCGAGTGTCTGGTAGAGGCCAAAAAATAATGACACAAGAGAGCAGCAGCTGGAGAGCTGGAGCAACTGTAACCATGATAGACTATCAAAACAGACCCAGTCTTTTGGCATGAGTATGCTTCAGCATGCACACAGGGTAAAGAATTAACCTTCCAATTTGACTACCTCTTTGCTAAGAGGAAAGAATTCTCGCAAGCAGCTTTTTAGCATGAGAGTGCTTCACCATGTGTACAGGGTTAGTTTTTACACTTTCCTATTTTACTATACAAGAAGCAAGTGATACTCGCAAGCGGATCTTGCTTTTCACTTCAGAAATAATGCCTGAGCAAATGGTACAACATGTATAGGTTTTGTTTCTTTCAATTTTACAAGCAAAACATGATATGTGTAGAACTAGAGGACTTCTTTACATTGACAAAAGGATGCTGTAATTTGAACAAGCTCCCAGAATGACATATTCTGTAACTCAAAGCACTTGGCAATACAATGCCATGGATACGTAAGAGTTTTCTGCCCTCCCTTAACACAATTTTGCCTGCCTATATAGTCATCTCTTCTCATATCATCCAGCCTTTTAAAGTTACGACGTCTACCACTTGCAATGGCCCGATTTGGGTGCTAATCCCTTCCGATTTCATAGCAAGGCACTTGAAGGTGTTTTATTCTTAAACAACAGGTGTCATCACACTGTAGAGTGCGGACACCTATACTTGTTTTCACCTCAAGAAAAAAGCAAGTTTTGCACATTGTTCATACGCAGCACGAAGTGGTTCTTACGAGATTTGCTTGTTGGGAGAAAACAACAATGCTTTTGGAGTTTGGAACGTGTCTTGATAAGATAACATATATCTAATCTAAACTTCACCTACATACATCTTAATAATCCATATAGAGGAGGAAATTAGAAATGCCCCGCGAGGAGACAGACTTTTTTTGCTATGGTTCTTGAGGTAAGGACGGGTATAGTCTAACAAATCTTTCTTAGCTTTCTGTGCAGTCTCTATTTCTGGATCTGAAACCTGAGGTTCGGTTTCTACAGCAGCTGCCCCAGCATCCGCTGTGCTCCTTCCTCAGGCGTCATATGCTCTATGCTCGAAGACGGTCCCCCCGTGGTTCGGGTACAGATGACACAAACGTATTGCCAAATCGTTATAGAGCTTTCCTCAGTGAGTTCTGCAAATTAGATTCTTGTTAAACCCTAAATTCAGTCAAATCAGTTCATCATTATTTGTGAACGAATTCTGACATGGCCCATTTTTTTTATTTTTTTAAAAAGATAGATCAGTTTATTAACATAACATTTTGTCACAAGTTTCTAAAATCAATTGGGATGTGCATTAAAATGTGTGCTTGACTAATGAAATCCCATTAACTCTTTTTCTTTTTTTTTTTTTTACAGAAACGTGATACACTTCGCTGGGCTTCTTTGTAATAACAGGGGCCTTCTCGTAAATAAAAACAAGGTTCAAGGTTTCTCTCCTAGAAATTAAAGGGGGGGGCGGGGGGGGGGGGGGGGGGGGGGGGGGGTGCAACGATTTTCGGACTTCGGTCAAAAATTTGTGGAAGTTGCCCTCTGACACTTCTGAAGAACAGAAAACCGATTTCGCCTGCGTGTCCTAGTTGTTGTGTAAAAAAAAACGATAAATATTGGCATTTCGAGCACCCCTCAACTCACTCCCAGTCCTCAGGGTCACACCTGGTCGCCCTCCTAGTGCATAATTCGGGGTGCCGTGTAGGTTCCCGTGTGCTATCTCGGAGGAAGCTTCCCCCCCTCTCTCTCTGCTGACATTAGCGGGTGTTATGCTGCAGCTTAGAGCCGAGCAAGATCACGTAAGCTTCTCACCGTGGTTCCTTCAACTGCCACTTGCGGCTGTAGGTGGGGGAAAAAGCCAGACTTTTGCTTTGCAATTATGCAGCGGAATCGCAACATTTTTTAATGAAAGAGATGTTTTCTCTATCCTCCTGGGCACGATATAAAACGTAAAAATGACGAGGTGCAAATTCTCTTAATCTTGAAATCGTTGCACCCCCCCTTTAATTGCTCAGGTGACTCCAAATGTGTTCTTATGAAACTAAAAAATTGTGATCACTTCTTAGCAATGCAAGTATGCGTCATCGAAGTGAGCTCCTGGAAGTTGCAACTTGCCGAGAAACTCTGTGTTAATCGGATGAATGAACAACTTGGACTGATCTGCTAATGCAGCAAAGAGCCAATACATTTGGCTGTACGTACACGGATTTGTCGTGGCAACACAAACACAAGCTGTCGCAAAGCGAAACTCTGGGCCGAAAGCCCCAAATCGTAGCCCCTCAGCTTGGAGGTACTACAAAAAGGAACTCTGACTTACAAAGCTCTCGAAAACGACAGGCATCGTAAATCACGGAGGTTGAATGGAAGGACTGCTGTGTTTGCGGGGGCGTTATGGGAGCCCGAATAACAGAACTCCGCCGAAAGCCGACGATATATAAAAAGCAAATAAACAAATTGTAAAATAACTGTTGCACGTGCCCAGCCAAGAAGTAGTGTAGCATGACAGCAAAGAAAACGGCCGATACATTTATGTAATCGCGCACAACAGTGCTCGCCTCTATGGCCCCACATTAGCAGAGGCGTAGTGGCATCGCCACAATCGCTTAGACCTTTAGGACCACCCAGTGTTCCGTTTTCTTAATGAGAAATTCTGTAATGTTTGCTACTACATTCCTCCAAAGCAACTGCGTCGTTAACAAAGCCGGTTAGCACCGCCACTTGCAAGTTGGTGCAATCACCGGGTTAGCTATCTAGACGGATGTCTTCTTGAAATGAAACTGTGCTGACACTCGCCTCGACAGCGTTGATCATCCACGAGAGGTTAGCTACGAGGTTAATTTTCAACGAGCATGTCGCGCGTAAGCTAACAACAATGCCAGAGAAGTCCGCAAGTGCTAGCCCTAAACACACCGAGAAGCTTCAACAGACCTCGTTCCAGCTGATCAAATCGTTGCAGTTCTCGTCTTCGACAAGTTTCCAAAGCTTCACCAGGAAGGCGGGGACGTTATTGACACCAACTTCTGTTGTATGCATTGCGGCAATCTTACGAACTTTGGAGTGAAACGAATATTGGTGCGAGGATTACGACCATCATCCCCGCGAACGAAGGAGATAAAAAATCATATTTCCAAACATGGTTGCTAGCATTCATTTACATTTTTTCCTCCTCGTCCATCGTCCATCGAATCGCTGCATGAATCATCCAAGGTTGCGAAAGGACCTTCAATTAGTGTGATATTGAGAGTATAACTAGCCAAAAATGCATTTAGTTTGTGCCAAAAAATATTTTAATTTTGTCAGAACTAGATAGTTCTACAAACTAACCATGTTCTTTAAGTTTTTGTAAATTCGCAAAATTTAAGCAGAGTGGTTTTACCTTTTGTATTTGGTATATAATGTTGTCTAATACTGCGTAATAATTTTGATAATCAGATGAAAGCTTAGAATGCGCCAGAAGCTTCGACTGCAACCTTTCTGCAACACGCGCTCGCGCCTTGCGTCGCTCTCTGGCTGAACCCCGAAGTGACACCGAGAACAGAAAGCTTGAGCTAGAGTCAGAGCTTTTGGTGCATTCTCAACTCGTATGAGACTGTAGTTGTAACTTGTAGCCTTCATTATTTTTAATCTTTATTCCTCCGTACTTCGGATTTGTGGAAGGTGCGAAAGAGCCAGTGAGACCAGTGAGAGAAGCAGACATAGGAAGCAGACGATAAACAAATGAATAGATATTGTTGTTGCGAAGCTCTATGAAGCTCTTTGAACTTTTAGCGCCAAATCACATAGGCGGTGAACTGAAAAACAACCACCTGCTCTCAAAAGAAAATTTACACTGTCTTTTTGACCAAATGTTTTGACCGCAAAAATAAACTAGGCATCGCCGAACGCTCGTTCTCCGCCCATATGTAGGGCTAGAGGTCACAACCAGATGGCAAAGTTTGAGCCCGATCTGATAACTTAATCAAAAGTTATAACTGATTTTCTGAAAATTTCAATGGGAAAATGGCGGCTTACGGAGTTTTCGAACATATGGGGCTCTATGGCACCGCAAACCGAAAACGGGCAAAAATGGTCTCCATTTTCTCATTGAAATTTTCAGAAAAGCACTTTGGCATCTGGTTGTGACCTCCAGCTCTACCTTTGGGCCATTGCTTTGGGCGCTTTGGGCGGAGAATGAGCGTTTGGCGATGCAGTTTATTTTTGCGGTAAAAAAGATCGTGTAAATTTTCTTTTGTGACACCCTGTGTGTATGTATATATAATGGCGCGACGGCCTGGAGGGGACGGTTTACAGGGGGGATTAAAGAAAACGAAAATTGCCCGTCGCGCGCGCAAAGTCCCAGAGAGACAGCAGCGTCTCTTTCGCACAGGCACTACTCTTGGGGTTAATCCAGTCCCCGTAGGCAAGCACATTGGGGTCTAGAAAATGACTTCGTTCAGTTTGGAGCCCCGCACACTCCCACAGTAGATGTCGGACCGTAGCATGACCGTAGGGGGTAGTATGGGGAACAACGATGAGGGGGAACGCCCTGAACATACACATACGCTTTTTTTTTTTGTTTTGTTTTGCGAATGCGGCCACCGGATGGCCATCTTGAGACACGGAAAATAGACCTTTTGGAGCGTTGTGGAGGCTTGGCGGCAGCGTGCTGGAGGCACAGTTTCCGCCCGTTCGTCGTCATTCGCTGAAGATGGCTTTAGAATCTTATGTAAACGGTGATAATTGCTTTTGAGAACAGTGAAAAGTTTTACGAAAGTGCAGTGCTACACAAAAAAGGCACAATTCGTCGAACGCACGTCTCGCCGGTCTCGCGTGCGGCGTGATCAAAGCTTCTTTGCCACGCCGAAGTGCCGCGTCTCTGTGCCTTCGCACGCTTGGGTACCAAGAATCGACGCCGTGGCAAAGTTTTGAAGGTGTGTCGCGCGTAGATGTTTTCTGGATCGCCCAGCTGTTCGGGCAAGTTGCTATCAATAAAGGGAAAACAAATGCTTGGGAGAAGAGCGTGATGGTCTCCCCCCCCCCCCCCCTTCTTCCGCTGTAGAAATTTTACTCGTCTGTTTCTAGTTGAAAGATGTGGTTGTGTTGTCCCAGTTTTAATTGTTTCATTCTTTCTTCATCCATGAAAAAAATCTGTGGTGCTATTATGCACGATTAACTATGGCTAAGTTCGAAATCTACTCGAATGGATCACATAACAGCATAAATAGAGCAACGCTGTGGAGGCAGATAGGTTTTCGAACGCAAAAATATGGAACGGCGAGATCTATTTTTTTTTTCTTTTGACGCGGATTATACGGTCGTGTGCAATCTGTCGTCGCCGCTGGACCCCCTACCCCTCTTCCGTCGCCACTGGATCAAGCTTGTTTCTGGAGCGCGAGTGCCGCAAGTCACAAATACAGTCGTCAGAGTGAATTAACGCTGCTTCAGGGGAACACACATCTTCACGCATGTTGAACTCGCGAAACAAATCTACACAGCGTCGATTCTTGATCGGTATCCAAGCGTGCGATGGCAGAGATGCAGCACTTCGGCGTGCCTAGGAAGCTTTCATCACGCTGCGAGACGGGCGAGACTTGCGTTTCATGAGTTTTGCCTTTTTTCTACAGTGCTGCGCTTCCATAAAAAATTCACGCATTCTCAAAGACAATCATCACCGTTTACACGCGGTTATAACAAACTTCTTCAACGAATGGCGACGAACGAGCAGAAAACGTGTCTTGAGCAGTCTACCGCCCAGGCTCCGCCACGCTCCAGGAGGTCGATTTTCCGTGTCCCAAGATGGCCGTCCGGTAGCCGCAGTCGCGCTGCAGCGACGGCAGCGACGCCAGCGACCAAGCGGGGTTGCGCGATCCAGCAGACATGTGCTGGATTATGGATTGTACTATTGTGCATTGGATATTCAGCCAACGCCTATTCAGCACACTGGATGAAATGAAGAGAGGCGTCACCGATGGCGGCTGATCGGTGGGACAAGGATGTGGACGATGGAGTTGTCCGCATTGTTGGACAACTCCAACTGCGTAAATATGGCAAGTTCATGGAGGAATTCACAACACAGCTCAGGAGCATTGAGCAATCTTTGGATGAGACGATTTGTGAAGCATGGGACATGGAATCGGATGCAGTCTCTCTCCAGCACCTCCCCTACGAAAACACGACGCTACTCGAGCTCATCTCGACGGACAACAAGATCCTGAACAAGGTGATCACCGTCCTGGCTGCTCTTTGTGCCGAGGCGAAGCACTTATGCCACGAGGCCAAGACCCGGTTCCACAGCTCGCTCCTTTTCTACGGAGAAGGCAGCCTCGCAAGCAACAACGTCCCGGACGGCGAGCCGCAGGTGGCCGTGGGGAGGATGGTCGCCCTGATGCAGGACCTCTCGTGCCACGTGAGCCGATGCTACCTTGTCGCCAAGAACATCGTGCAGCAGATGTCGGCGCTCTTCGACAAGAGCAAGCCGTCGTGCGTCATCGACGTCACGGACGTGCACTTCCAGACGGTCTTCGAACACCTCGGCCAAATGCTCGCGTCCTTGGTCACTCTGGACGAGATTGTGCAAGCACAGAGTGCGTTAAGGGAACACTGGACGCTCTACAGGAGGATGCTCAAGTCGGTGCACCACAATTGCGCCAAGTTTGACGTGGCTCCTGAGGACCTCAAGGCTCTGGACAAGCTCATGGGCCAGCTTGAGTACCAGCTGCTCCAGGGCCGCATCTTCATGGGCTGCCTCGAGCAAGGCTTTGACGACACCAGCCTCTGCGTCGCCAAAAATGGTGCCTTTGCTGAAGAGTTTGCCCTCAACATTCGCAACTGGTTCACCCAGGTCGACGCCAAGCTTGGGGAGACCAATGAGCTGGACAAGCGGAAACAGCTTATTGGAATCTATGCGCTGTATGTTCTCTATTACTACATCTATCGCACTATTGACAAGAAGTTCTTCAAGGCACTCTGGGATGTATACAAGAAGGTGCCAGCGGTTCACATCCTAGGGAACATACTCTGGTTTCCAGACCAGTTTCTGATGCTCCAGATGCCGCAAGTGATCAGATCCCTTGATAAGAAAGCCCAAGATGCCGTTAAGATGCAAAGGCTAAACTTTCTTCAGCAGAAGTCTGCTTCACTTTCCAAAGATGTGCAGGCTCTACATGTCCAAGTGTCTTCCTGGCTTCTACGCATGGAGTCTGCTTTCCAGAAGGATACAGACAAGCTTCTAGAAGACCTTAATCGTAGAAGTTCTCTTCTTCTTCAAGGAATCTACTTTGGCTGGTACATCTCTCACCAAGTGACAACTGTCATGAACCTTCATGTGGCACTGTCCAAGCCAATGACAAAGTCATCGGTGCTGCTTCTCGGGAAGATGATAGAGATGATGAAGGCTATTGAGGCTATGTTTCACAGGCAGACAGTCAAAATCTGCGACTCTGTCACCCATATCATACAGCACCTTTCGTATGTGGCGCTCTTTGCTGTCAGCAATGCTAAAAAGAGGCTAGTGTCTGACAAGGTATCCGACAAGAAGTACAGTGAGCGTAGACTTGATGTTTTGTCTTCCCTGGTTTTGGCCGAGAAATGCTTGAACGGCCCAGCCACAAAAGAGAGGAGACTCATCATTCACTTGGCAATAGCTGTCGGAGTGCAAATGAAGAGTTTCAAAGAAGAAGAGATCAGCTCCTTTCACTCGGTCATGCGCAAGCTGGACCTGATTGGCGAGTTGCAAGAAAAACTGCAGGAGGGTTGTGATGGCAGCTTCCTCTACTGGCACAGGGTAGTCTTTCCTATCTTCTTGGATGATGTTTACGAGAGTGCTGTGGACGGACATCGTATCCACTTCCTGGTTGCTGCACTCAAGGACTGTGCTGGACCCATTCGCATGACAAAACACGAGTCTAACCCCCAGGTCATCTTGGACAAGTTTAAGGAGGAAATGTACAGCCAGTTCAAGGAGCATATCCTGGACAAACTCTGCAAGGACATTGAAACAGATTTGCGACTTCAAACTCATTCCCACCTTCAGTTGGATGACCGAAATCCATTCCGTGTTGGTCTTAGAGACTACTCGCAAATCCTGCACATTCGTCCTATCAAGCTCTTTGACTTGACAATTAATGTTCGAGCTTTTGTGGAACACTACCTGGACAAAACATTCTACAACCTCACAACTGTGGCCCTCCATGATTGGAAGACGTACGGTGAGATGCGCAGCATGGCGAGGCAGCGCTACGGCTTGACTACTGTTGAAGCCCACCTCCCCAGTCAGACCCTGGAGCAAGGCCTGGATGTTCTCGAGATAATGAGAAACATTCATGTCTTCGTATCCCGCTACTACTACAACCTCAACAACCAGATATTTGTAGAGCGAACGAGCAACAACAAGCACCTCAACACCATTAACATCCGCCACATTGCTAACTCAATACGCACGCATGGCATTGGCATCATGAACACCACGGTGAACTTCACCTATCAGTTTTTACGGAAGAAGTTTGTCATCTTCTCTCAGTTCTTGTTCGATGAGCACATCAAGTCCCGTCTCATCAAGGACCTGCGCCACTTCCGAGAGACACGCAGCCAGAGTGATCCAAAGTACCCATTCGACCGAGCTGAGAAGTTCAACCGAGGTATCCGGAAGCTGGGAATGACTCCAGAAGGAGAAAGCTACCTGGACCAGTTTCGGACTCTTGTGAGTCAAGTTGGCAATGCCATGGGCTACGTCCGAATGATCAGGTCTGGCGGACTCCACTGCTGTAGCAGTGCCATCCAATTCGTTCCAGACCTTGAGTATGTAGCCAACTTCGAAGAACTTTCCCGTGAAGCTCTCATGAATGACGACTGCATCGAGGCTGCCCAGAGGCTAGATGCTGTTGTCACAAGCCTTGCCAAGAACTTCTCGGAAGGAAGCGAATATTTCCGCCTACTTGTGGACGTATTCTCACCCACCTTCCGTGACCCCAGCAACATGCACCTGAGGAACTTCTTTGTGATCCTACCTCCGCTAACGCTCAACTATGTGGAGCATGCTGTGGCTTGCAAGGAAAGGATGAGTCGAAAGAACAAGGTTGGAGCAGCCTTCACAGATGATGGCTTTGCAATGGGTGTGGCTTACATTCTCAAGCTGCTCGACCAGTACCAGGAGTTTGACTCCTTGCACTGGTTCCAGTCGGTGTCTGAAAAGTTTCAGAAAGACAGTGCCCAAGTGAACGAGCAAAGGAAGGCAGCTGTTGGAAAAGAAGACGAGAAACTTCAGCAAGCCATGTCTCTAACCGGAAAAAGGCTCGAGACATACCAGCATGAGTTTGACTTGCTCAATTACTCGCTGAGTAGCGCTCGTATCTTCTTTAGGGCTGACCTAACTGCTGCTGAAGAGAAGCAGGAGAAAGTGGATGATGTCTGAGCCTAGGCACTCAACCTAGGCATTTGTGTGCCCGGCACATGCTTGCTTGTGGTCGTAACTGGTGGGGAGGAAATCGCTTCAGAGGGTAGGCTTGAGCGGACTTTCTATATCCCGCATTATTTTTCTGCTTCAGAGCAAAGCTAAGTTGTTATTGCTTTTCTAATCAAAGTGGGTCCCTTAGTTTTTTGTTTATTTTATCCACCAAGCCATCTAGTCCAAATACTGACATGTGGACATACAAGCTGTGAATAGGATGCAACATTTATACTTTATAAAGCTACCACTTGTATCTCAAGCATTGCCGATGTTATGAATTGCGGTGAATCATATGGTCTTGTTTGGATTACAACTGAGTAATAAAACGAGAAATTTGGGCACGGTGTGTCGGCTGCTATTTTTTGTAAACAGGATTTCTAGGGATGGTCTGTGGGCTCCATCATCATACGTGGTGGCTAAAAAAGTGTGAACTGTGCTCCTATGAAGGGATGACATATTGAACAACTGCCAAGAATAGAGGCTATGCTAAAATACAGGGTGTTTTTTTTAGCTGCACCAAATTTAAAAAAAAAGAACTGCGTTGGGGCACTTTTAGTTATGCCATTAGCATACCCGACCTGGCGCCCACTAGAAACCAAGTATTTTGTGCAACTAGGCGGCTAATTAACGGAGATCTCTTAATTAACTTTTTAATTATTGTTTTTAGAGGGCCTATTTCATTTACGAAATTGAAGCCCAACCTTAATATGCTCCAACCCCACAGCGAAGTAAAGGCACAAACAACTTCTGCGCGCATTTCTGGCTAAATTATTTCATTCCCGCAGGCTCTTTCAAACCGAAACTGACCAGAACAAGAGCGTCAATGACGTCGATATCTTTGCCCTCACTTGGCGTCGCAGCAGTGACGTCGCCTGTGATGCAGGCACTGCTGTCAGCGCTTTTGCAATACGTTGCTCTCTCCTTAGTGGTTTGCTTACCGCGACAGGTGTAATTTAGGCGTCTGCGGTCGGCGTCAACTGTGCTGTGTGATATCCCTCTCTTGACCTGCGGGCGACGCGACGCTTTCGTTGGTACGATAAATGCTGTTGCATGCATTACCAACGGCCGGCAACGTCAGATGAGCTTCCTGCGTTTTATTTGGGAAAAATATTTTTTCAATGCTGGAGACTTCTGCTACCTATTATTTTCCACCGCTGCTTTATTTCTAAGTTCTTGCGTTTTGATGCATTAAACTAGCCAGGTTCTTTTTAAAGGACAAAGTAATCATGCTTGTGTAATATCACTCGTTGGCCCCTCTGGCAGTTAAACTACAATAATGCAGTGTGTAACAAAATAATCTTTCTTTGTTCTATGTTTTATGGGCTCTTAATAAATGAGCAAGGAGCCTTGCACCGGCGTACTGGCTCACTTACAATAGTCATGTGCTGTGCGCGGCGCAGTGTGAACACGGCATCGGCGCTTTTTCAAGTGTAGCTCAAACAGGGCACTGTTGAGAACTAAGTCTTACTGCCTCACTTAGAGCCCCAAATAATACTGAAAGAATAAACAGAGGGATGGACAGAACAACGCATCTTTCGTGCCTCTGTCCGTCCAGCTCTCTGTTTATTCCACTGTCCGTCCCTCTGCTTATTATTTCAGTATTATTTAGTTTACCAACACGCTGACGTCTAACTTAAAGCCCCAAATTAGCACTTTTCACAGCACCAGTATTTTCTTCGGAAGCCTTTTAGTTCGTTGAGAAAAGCAGGCAAAAATATGGCTTAGCGCATTTTGGTACTTAAAAAAAAAAAGAAAAAAAAAGAAAGCTTGGCAGCCAAAGTGATTTGGGCATGTGATAAACCACCCAGCGTTTGCCGCCACCTGGCCACTTTATGAAGTTGGAAACAGTTGCGTTCAAGCAAGTGCTCGAATTGGAGTCCATTTACAGAAACGCACATCATCAGTCGGCTCCATGTGGAACACAACACGCGCTCGAGCATTTCAGGCTGAACTGCGGCACAAGCGGCGACGATTCTTTGTTTCAGGTTGTCCACGCTGGTGGGTTACGTGGCGTAGATCTCATTCTTCACATAAGCCCAAAGAAAAAAATCTAACGGGCTCACATCTGGTAATCGTGCCGGCCACAGAACTGGACCACTGTGTCCAATCCACTGCTCTGGAAAAGTTTGGTGTAGAAATTGAACAGCACGCGAAGAAGAATGCGCTGGAGCGCTGTCCTCGTTGAAACCACGTCTCCTTCAGCCCGCTGAGAGGCAGGCCGGCAATAAACTCTTCCACGACTCCCTCAAGGATTCTCTTTGTGTATAGTTTTCCGTTCAGTGTGCCGTCAAAGAAATATGGACCAATGATTTTATCATTTAATATTCCACACCATACTTTAATAGACCATCTCACTTGATGTTTGTGCTGACGGAGCCAACGAGGATTTACGCTTGCCCAGTAATGGGCATTGTGGAGGTTCACCGTTGAATTTCTGCAGAATTGAGCCTCGTCACATAAAAAAAGTTTTTTCAAGAATCCAGGATTCGGGTCTATTTCAATCGGGGCCCAATTGCAAAAGTCCAGTCGTCGTTGGAAGTCACTGCCATGTAGCTCTTGGTGACGGTTAACGTGAAACGGATGCATGCGGTGCTTCACAAGCACTTTCCACACTGTAGAGATCGTTGTCCCTGCCTCAGGCTTAGCTGTTACGTACACGAGAACGTCAGTCTCGAGTTCGTGGCTAAGGACATATTTTTTCTGTCTTCGCCCACTCACCACCGTGCCACTTGATGCAAGCTTGTTGAAAACGCATATGAAGGAAGTGTGGGCAGGAACGAAGACCTGGGTGCTGAGCGGCATAAAGTGGCGCAGCATGACGAGCATTCTTTTGCATAGTTAAATATGCGATCACCATGTATGTTTTTTTTTCAACCGAACGCCTTGTCGCAATGAGCAACGCCATTCAGATGTGTTTCCTGCCACAGTCAGAGAAAGAAAGGCACAGCACTATGAATCGCATAGCGCCTGTGTTATTTGTAGCCCTGTGTCTTTTACAACAGAGGGTTCTTCGCTTTGTAGCACCATTGGCACAAGTCTTCAGAGCAGCTTCTATCATATCAATGAAAGGAAAGGGTAACGTCACGATACCCGCTGGGACAGCAGGAGAGAGAAACGTACCAGGCGAAAATTTTCAACTGGGACCAATTGGTCCCAGTTGCAACTGGTTTATAGAACAATTCCCAGTTGGAGTTGTCCAACTGGTCCCAGTTGGAGTTGGTCCCAGTTACCGCTGGTACCAACTCCAGCAACAATGAAACACGGCACAAAATGGAAGGTTGACAAGACTTTATTGTCAAAAACCTGGAGAATGAAACTAAATAATAGGTTCGGTGACGTACACACTACGGGTTTAGCCACTTGCTTGCGAAGGTTGAATCGCTTTTTCAGAGGTAGTATTCGTGAGATGAAGGAAGATCGGCCGCTGGCGTCTGTTAGTGAAGACGTCCTCAGCTTATCTCCCCAACGCGTGAAGAAAGGTGCTCACCCGTGATCCCGCGTTGCGCAGGTGAAGTCCTGATAGGATACGGTGGCGCTCCCACCTTGCAATCTCTGTCACAACAGTCGAACATCTTCGAGGTAGACCTCCCGCCATTTTCGACATTGTGCTCTCCGCGGAGTTTTCTTCCGTCCTGTCTATGTGCGTCCGGTCTTTCCTGGGTGCCCTCCGATCGCTGAACTGCATCTTTCCATCCCCGAAGTTCACCGCCGCCACCATGGTGTGTTTACAGTTAGGTCCAAAGAAGCGCAGCTGTAGTTTTGACATTTTCATAACGACGCCAAGTTGGGCTGCTTGGGCGATGGCGACCCTTCTCTAGCGCTTCACGCACATTGCACTCGCTAAACACATACACACGGCGTCGGTTCTTGGTCGGTATCCAAGCGTGCGAAGGCACAGAGACACGGCACTTCGGCGTGCCAAGGAAGCTTTGAACACGCCGCCAGCCCTTCCTTTCGACGCGTTGTGCCTTTTTCCTGCGACACTGCACTTTCGTAAAATTTTCCACGTGTTCACAACGGCAAGTCTCAACAATACACAGAGTCTTCAAAAAACTTCTTCGGCGAATGACGACGAACGAGTAGAAAACGTGTCGTCAGCACGCTGGAAAACCGCAGCAAAGGCTAGCAAAAACGGCAAATCGTATCCGAAGCGAGTGAAGCCCGGTGGCTTCACTTGCGCTGCAGCGAACAAGCGGGGAAGCGCGATCCAGCAATTGTCATAGAGATCAGCGATAATAACTCTATGGGTACTAGAGCACTATATAGCTCCTTCGGAGCAGAGTAGCGCAATCTAGAACGCCGCCTCTCGGCGACTAGCGGCGAACGCCCGGAGGTTCCAACTGCGGTCAGAAATGCATGGAGAACGTGAGAAAATCGTTGTTTCTCCAGTATTGTGGGAATGTACGGAATCGCAATCATTTTTGACATAATAATGGAACACTTTAGAATAATTCGCGCTAAGTTTTGTGCCCCGCAAGGACCTGACTTTTTTTAAAAAATTGCCTGAGCGGCATCATGCAGCAGACGACACGGCGACGTCACACCATTCACGTGACCCGCTCCGGCCAACCCGAAAAGCCCATCTCCGCTGCGAGCAAAAATCGTCTGCTTCAAACGCCATTGCCTTGGAAATTGCCTTCTCAAAATTTGCACACGCATCCGATATTGTTAAAACTTTGATAAAGTGTTTAGTGCTTTACTAACTTCACGACAGACTAGTTTTGAAAAGTGTGAACTCGCCGTTCATTTTTTAATCAGCCGTGTTGTGTCGATCTCCATGTATTCTCCCATAGGGCGGGCCGCCTCTTGGAACCCTGAGTACCACGTGACTCGCGCCGAGCCGCTCTGTCGGCCATGTTGTCGGCAAAACACGGGGTTCAAAGGATTGCGTTACTCTGCTCCGTAGGAGCTATATAGCTATATAGTGCTCTAGTTGGTACTTGATAATACAAGACCGTGGCCAGAAACAAATTGGCGGGGGTGAAGAAGGCAGGGAAAGGTAACCATAGTTTTGTTTAACCCGAGACTGGAGTATTTCGGAAAAGGGACGAGAAGAAAAGAGGCCACAAGGAGGCGATGTCTCAATAACTCAATAAGGTTAACTTCCAGCTCGCCTGCACCCTTATAATTTTTTCACAGGGAAAGGTGTTTTTAGATTTTGTTTCTAGGCTAGGTGGCGCAAGCTACTGCCCGTCACAAAGGGTCTTGCGTCGGCTCCAGAGCTCGTAGCTCCTCAGAAAGATTTTTTTTTTTTTTTTTTTTGGGGGGGGGGGGGGGGGGTGATGATATTTTATAGCATCTTCGATCAACTCGCACCGGAATCGCCCTGAAACCAGCACAGTGCACAGCGCTCCTCGGTCGTGCAGCGCGATGTCGGTGCAACATCGAGGACAAACTGCGCCGCGCCGGTGCACCGCGGCGAGCTCCACCTTGCGTCACTTCGCGTTTTGTTCGTTTATTTTGCGTAGGTCAGCGCACGATGCCCGTCTGCTGTCAATTTCTTTTATTTTTTTACTCGCGGATTTGACGGTCCCACAGAAATAAACATCGTGGACGTGATTGTCGATGGGTTCACGAAGCGGGTGACAATTCCACATGTATATGTTGGCCATCATTATTAGTTCAAGAAAACGAAACGCCAGATAATACCGTACCTCGCTGTCATCGAAACGCCTCGCGCCGCTTTCCACGAAGTTCGTGCTTTTCGGGCGCTCCTTGCCACCGCAGCAATCACCAGTAATCGCGACGATGGTGAGAAGCTCGTCGTCTCGCGGTCAGAAGACCCGAGGAAATCATCTAGTGCAGCTGCAAGGCGTGTTCGTTTTTGCAAGATCGCCATCTCGATAGTCTGCGCGTCTGCTACTCCCGCCATCTTCTCGATTCCCGCTTCCGGCCGCAATGCCTGATGGGACTGCACCCCGGCGCACCGCCGATTTTCTTGGTGCGCGTTGGGGCAACGAAAAGCCGCACCGGGAGGGTGCGCTTCGTTGATCGAGGACGTACGGTGCGCACCGGTGCACTTGATCGAAGATGAAGGGGCGCACCTCAGTGCCCCGGTGCGCACCGGTGCGGATGATCGAGGATGCTATTAGGTGTTTTAGGTTTGCTGCCAGCGCTTCCTCTGTTTGCTGCACAGTAGTTTCAGCGGTTTCCGTTGGTTGCTGTCTTTGCTGTGTGGTGCTAGCGAGTGGCGGCGGTGGCGGTGCACCAGCGTTATATGCACTTGAGGATTGGCGTCCGTTGTGTCCTACGTTTGGCATGTGTGCGATTGAAATTGTAGGATTACCGAAATTATCTATAAACTAAAACCAACCTCAACCACGGCCATCGGTGACCAACAAAATGGTAGGCTATTGCCGCCTCTGCTTTCTGCTTTGGATCGAAGGTTGCGAAGTTACCAGGTCTCGGCCCAAAATCTTCAGACAACAAACTTATACCCTTTTTAAAATTTTTATCTCGTCAGCACGGAAGATTGAAAGTGAAGACGACTGCTGAACAAGAAGAGGAAAAACGCAAGGAACGCGAAAAGAAGTTGAAGATTTACAAAGCTGCCAGTCGTCAAATCATTGATAAAGTAAGCGTCCTCAAGATTGTCCGCCACGAAAGCCACATGATCGCCGTCTCGTTCTCGTGTAATTGCTTCCTCTATGCAGAGGCGAAGCGGGGAACTGGACGATGAGCTACTACGCATCACCGGCCAAGTTTTACAGAGTAACCCCGACGACAGTACCCTGTGGAACATTCGGAGAGAAGTATTCGAGAAATACTTTGACAAGGGGCAAGTAGACTACACCGTATGTTCGTTATCACACTGTTCCGGAAGAAATACGGGAACCTAATTGTCGGCTGCTTGAAGCAGAAACGCGAGTGAGCGAGGAAATGGGGCAAGGAATGCGTGGTTTCTATGTGGAGCGCAAGTTCGTCTGCTTCTTGCACAGGGTTGCGATGATGTCAGAAGGCCGAGCTCTTATTGGCTGATTAAAAAGAAAAATAGTGGGTTGACCTCAAGGCATCTAGCATTGAGGTCTACCCACTATGCTTTCAATCAAAGCCATTCAGAGTTCGGTGTTGTTCTAACATCACTGCAACTCCTGTGCAAGAGCAGACGATTTACTCTCTGTATACCTTTATGCCTCAGGCCAACAGATGAGCGAAATTATCCAGCGCTTGCTCTTACCTTTGAACGTTCCTCTGCCATGTGAACTCTTGTTGCATAGCCGGGGTGCCTGCTAAAGCTAAGACGTAAAGCCTGTAGTTTTTATGGCCATCTTAACGAATTGCATTGTCGGCCTGAGGCTTGGCACTCGCAGCAGGCTATGCTGCAGTGCTTGGATGTTAGTGCAGAAAGTAATGTCAACAACAATGATTACTGTGGTTCGGAACCACGAGTTATCCATGCAGGGCATGCTAATGACGGAGGCCCTACCCTACCTGTTGACAGACTTTAGCTAGGATTAAGTAAGAAAATGTTTACAAGGAACTACATAAAGGCAGGCATAGTGTCTGCTTAGGACTTTGAGCATATATGTTCTACATTTTTCTCTCCTTCTACTCTTCACCCAGTCCTTCTCTGTGTGTGTCAGTGTTCCTGGTCTACGGTGGATGGCACAGTGATGCATAACTGGCTGGTCTCCATTGTTTCCCTTATATTTGGGTGTATCACCTAGTTTTTTCTTAACTGTACCAGCCTTTCAACTTCTAGATATTTTCTGTTTGGCATTTTTCAGCTCATGAGACAATTGGCTTGTAAATAGTTGGAGTAGTAGACATAACAAAGGCAACTTTGTTACAGGTCCAAACATACAGCAGAGGATGGGGAAGATGAACTTACGCTCACGGAATTGGCACTGCAAAAAAATCCCAAATCTTACGGTGCATGGAGCCACCGTGCATGGGCCATGGGTGCCTTTCCCAACATGGACTGGGACAGAGAACTTCGCCTTTGCAACCTCTTGCTCGAGCAGGATGAACGTAACTGTAAGTTCTTTGTGTTTGATCTTGGTTTCTTTTATATCATTTATTCTTGTTAAGAAAACGTTCCAGGTACCAAACTTTGAGTCATACATTGTCAGCTATTTGCTGAAAGTAGCATGCTGATGACAGTTTTTTTACCGATTGCTTAAAATAGCCAGCACAAAGCCGAGTACATTTGTTTTTCCTCTTGGGGTAATTCGGCATGCAGTTCATGGTTGGGACTATCGTCGGCTGGTTTGCCAGCATGCCAAAGTGACCCTGGAGAAAGAGCTGTCCTTCACCATGGACAAGATTGCAGCCAACTTTTCCAACTATTCAGCCTGGCACTATCGGAGCAGCCTTCTGCCTAAGGTCCACCCAGGCTCCCGAGAGGGTACCGTTAAGGAAGATGTCCTCCTGGAAGGTGCTGGCAAATTGGCCTACTTGTTTTCCAGTTATTGCGTCATTTCAGTGTGCTTCGGAAAAGTGATGTGGTGCTCATGCAGCTTTTCTGTCTTGCCTGTCTCTTGCGCTTCAGAGTACAGCCTTGTTCAGAATGCCACGTTCACAGACCCTGGGGACCAGAGTGGCTGGTTCTACCACAGGTGGCTCACAGGAAGAGGTACAGCCGTCGGTCCTCAAGCCAGTTCCGACATTGACTTGAGGCTTGGTTCTAGTAATAAACTTGGAGATGGAGGGGGCTAAACCTTCTTCATGCTGCTTACTGGCAATTATAGAACGCTGCACATGTTGTAATTTTGCTCGTGCCTTCATTTGGGCAGAGTAAATATTGGGGACTGGCCTTGACACTCGAAGTTCGGTTTGATAACTAGTCATTATACAGGTTGACTGTGTCATTATACAGTTGTCATTGCTTGTTTCAGAGAAGCCAGCACTAGATTTTCTTCTCCTCTATATTTCAAAGGGAACTCGTACAGTGACACTCCATTTGACACAGCAGATAAGGGTGAGTTAGCTTAGTTTGTTTGTGTTTTACATAATGTTTTAGAGAACACATTTTATAATTTGAGTCTTTCACATGTCTCCCAGTATAGGTTTTCTGCTCTTGGTATTTTTTTTGGTAGAATTTGTTTTGTTCATGGACATCAGTAGTTGATGACACCGAAAAGGGAACAAGCACCTTGAATTTGTCATAGCCTGCACAGACCTTTTTATTTTCCCCTTGTTGTTTTCCTTATAGATACAGGAGGTGGAGCTGACTGTCAGGATGAATGGAGTTCTCCTTTCGTTTGTATGGCATGCTCCCAACACACTGTTGTGTTCCCCTCTCTGGGTATGTGTGCAATTCCTTTAGCCATGAGGAGGACCATAAAATTTGAAAATGCGACCATTAGTAGGTTTGCTTATGGTGTAGTCTAGCATCCAGATTTTGTAAATATTGTTATTGATATTAAAGTTTGCTAGCTTTTTTGAGGGAAGATGGCTCAGTTAAACAGATACTGAAAAGAGCATTACTTTATGATAACTTGCGATTAACATGCATTTCTTTGTTTTAGTACGCCGACATTCCTGGTGATGCATTGGTTGGGGACTGTGATAGTGAATGGAAGGCCACGGTGAGATCTCGGGACGGTACAGAAGCACATGCGGACCTGTCTGTCAAGGCCTCTGAACAAGAAGCTAGGTTCACTGGAAATATTCCACGAAATCATCTCTTCAGGTGAGTCACTTTCTGCATTTATAAATGTGCATTGAAGGGGATTATGGATCACCAGTGCAGTGGTGGAACTGCTGCTCCATTTGTGCCAAACTGTGCCAGAACGAACCACCTACTACCTGCTGCTCCAAAGGCTGCATTTGTGCACCATTTGCGCCATGTGTGCGCCAAAGGGAGCTGTTCTCGAAAAGAAAACAAACTGTCTGGCACGTTGTATTGTTGGCAATGCCACTGAAAATGAGGAAAGTACAGATTTTGTTTTGGAGGGGGGGGGGGATACCCGAGTACTATGTGTGAAGAGTAGGGTTCCGTGAATATTCCAATTTTCACATAGCTGTTTCAAATAATATGCTATTTGATATTCTCTTCAAAATTAACTGCAATATTCATACTTTTGTTTTTAGAAATGTTGACAGTGGCGGGTTAGCCCTTCTGGGTGCGCTTCTCCTCAACCACCAGGTACTGCGGAGAAGCAATACTCCCGAAGCTTAGAATGCGATCTCTCGACTCTCTTTGCTGCAGCGGAGCCGCATGCTTAGGTGAAAAATGCACTTTCAAAGTGATCTGGAGCACGTGTGCGCCTCGTATGTTAAAAAAAAAGAAAAAAAGACCAGGGAATGTTGTTATTGTTAATATTTATATTCTAGTAAAATCTTTCAAATTTAACTGTGGCTATTATGCAAGGGTATATGTTGGGCACCTATGTTCTAACAACCTGTGTTCATTAATTGTGTTTTTTTTTTTTTAAATTCAGAATTGAAGAAATTATTTGCATGTAGCCAGAAGATTTATAAATCCCCTCAATTAAGTATGACTGGGCCATCCCAATGTAGGTATTGGACTTTCTGAGGCCACAGTCTATAAATATAGCGAGATTAAATTTAACAGAGCTCATAGGTGGGCAATTCGAAGCTTGGGACCAACCTTCGCGAGTCCAGCTGAACTTTCTTTTAAGCATGGTGTAACAGTAGGGAAAGGTGTGGAGGAAGGCGCAGCAGCTATTCAATATTAAATTTAAAAAAATATTACCAAAAACACAATCCACTTTCAATTTGCTTGTAACCCAAAATTCAATATTTGCACATGCCTAACGAAGCGTTTGATCGCAATGAATAGCTAGTGCTATTTATTCTGATCAGTTAGAGTAGCTATGCTCGGCTAATCTACTCTATGAACAGTAGCAGGTGGAAAATGAGCGAAAGCAGCGTGATACAAACAGACTGAAGATGCCATCAGTACTCCTGATAGGTTAATTGAGACATCCGCGAAATTACCACCCTACGATTGTTCAATAAATAAATAAATCTAGCGGCCAGGTATGCTTTAGGTATGACACTTTAATTAAATAGTCTTCCAATACTCCAGCAACTGCAGTTTTTTCCACAGGTTGTATAACATTTTTTTACATGAAAGCTCAAAATTGTGTGCTCCAGAAGTAGGAATCTCTGCTCCAAAACCCGTTTTTCCCTGCTACAAGAGCTGCTCCAAATCACCACTTGTCAGTTCCACCACTGCCAATCTAGCTAAGGCTTTAGGGATTTCAGTGCTTATTTGTGGCAACCCTTGTAGTAGTGATGTAGTGATTAACCCATTTGCACATATAAAACCTGTTCCAGCAGTGGCTTTACTGTGCCTACTGTTGCTTCTTTTTTTTTTATTTTTTGGTATGCAAATGCAAAATGAGACAAGGGACACACAAAAACACGTCAGATACAGACAGCGTTCAACTCGCAACAAGTTTATTCTTTCCTCTGGCGTGCAGTGCCGGCATGATCTTGACAGCGCTCCTGCTGGCTCAAGGCCACGCTCATCCCTCCCCCCCCGACCGAGGCTCCCCATCTCCTTCTCGAGAAACCCTTCCTCCTTTTTACTCAGATTAAGGGATTTGTGGCTCACATTATTGTCGCTTCTCTCTATGAGGAAGGCCTCGACTACTTCCCGTTTCAATCGGTCAGGGTGCTTTTTGATAGCCTCTGCTTCAAAGATGGGCCTGCATCCCTTGCAGCTATTCACGTGAGGTTTTAGGGGTGGTTCTCCTGTTACTGAAAGCTTATATTTGTGTCCTTTTAGTCTATCACCTAGGCACCGCCCGGTCTACCCAATGTAGGTCTTGCCGCAAGACAGTGGGATCGAGCATACTACCCTCTCTTCGTATGTTAAAAATTTTTTCTTTGTGTTTCTTTTTGCATTTCTTGGCTCTGAGGTCTGAACGTTTCTGAGTCTTTCAGAATCCGAGACTCTAGAGATTGCCTGAAGACTTTGGGGTCAGTGAGCTCAGGCAAGATTTAAGGAACATGAATGGGCCAGTATTTTGGTTTAAAATTTTGGTACAACTACATTTAAGTTGTCTGCCTAATCTAGACAGGTTGGATCCAGCTTGGACCCTTTTCAAAATCCAGCTCTGGCTAGACTTATTTTGACCTGGGAACCTATGATTAGATTACCAAGATTTAGGGTCAGACATGTTAGCGCTCTTGACGGGCTATGGCGCTGTCCATTTACATGTTTGAAAGCACTGCATGAGTGCTGCCATTATTCAGCGGCACTGGCACACGGGAACTACATACAGTAAAACCTCATTAATTCGGATCTCATAGGACCGGCAAAAATGTCAGAATTATCCGAAAGTCGAAATATCGAAAGGACAAAGAAAACTGCGCGAAAACGTATCCCTTTGACATACCTTTATTTTGAGAAGAAATTTGTTATTACCGCCTGCTTTCAGGACGACACTCGGGTGGAGACGGCAACTTTCCTTAGCGCGGTCGAGTGCTCTACCGCACTTGCACTGCGCTAACGCAGTGCAAGTGCGTTAGCTAACCGTGCGCTAACGCTAACCGTGCGCTAACGATTTAGCACAGCAAGGCCTCTTCTAGTTTCGGGTGCACCATTTTCCACGGCCGCTTTCTTTTCGCGTTGAACTCCTTGCTCTCGAAAGCCCGTAGGATATAGGCCTCAATTTTCACGTTTGCGGCCAAACTGCTTCTCTTGACGTCGTAACCTTCCATCACTTGTCGAGACACGCCGTCCTTTATGGCCCTTAGTATTTCCACTTTCGTTGCTAAATTCTTAGCCTAGTACAGAGGTACAGCTGCAACGAAAAACGAGCAGCATAACTGACCAATAATCGGAGCAACAAAATTGCGACACCCGGCGCTATTTTTCCCGAGCGCGCCGATAGTGAGAGTGCCAGTCACGTGGCATCTTTCAACGCGGGGGTGGCCGGCGAAAAATTGAGGGATAAGAGAGCTATTAAAATAACGGGCTTTAGGATCCCCGCGTTGAGGCCTAAAACGTGACTGTCACTCTCGCTATTGGCACACTCGGGAACAATAGCCCCGCGTGTCGCGATTTTGCCATTCCGGTCGTCGGTCACTTGTGCTACCCTTTTTCTGTTGCAGCTGTCCTGCTGCTGCTTCCGTGCCAGGAGAGTTGCGCGCTGAAGCACGGCAATCCAAAGCAAAACTGTTGCGAAACACGGAGAACCAGAAGGGCGAAGAACCATAAGAAAACCGGAAAAACCATGTGTGCACCTCGAATGGATAGCGGTCATACCCTTTGGAACGGACAGTAGCTAGCGAATTCGTCCGAATTACGTAACCATAGCGCGCCGCGTTCCCTCCAAATTAATGAGCGTTTGCTGCCATTGACTAATACATGCGTTTGGCGGGACCGGATCGGCAGTTCAAATTATCCGAATTTCCGAATTAGCGGGGGTTGAATTAACAAGGTTTTACTGTACTAGTCAAGTTGGGGATAGCGGTATTTTGACAACACATAAGCTCCTTCCCCTCTTGTGTGAACAGACCTACTTGAGAGAGAGAAAATTTTGTAAGGGTGCAGGCGAGGTGGTGAATATTAACCATGTTGGATTAACCTGAGTCTGGGGTAGAGAAGAAACATCAAAACGTAGAAGAGAGGAAATAGACAGGATGATGTCTCAAACTCGGCTTACTCGTCCACCTCCTTATGTAGACCGACACGCGGGCTTGACTTCACGGAGCTGCGGCAGTGCTGCGACCGCGCCGGAGCCAGGAGGTGTGGGCAGAGAGGCACGCGTTTTGCATGGGCGTCGTAGCATTTCAGCATGCCGCAAAGCTGTGTAGACGTTCATTGCACCGAAAGGTACTGGAAAAGTAGTGGAGTGAGTTTCCCCAAGTTCCCGGCTGATTGAAAGGTGCAGAGGGTATGCGTGGATCGAAAATAATGGTTGCGTTGCGCAGACGATCGTTTGTGCGGGAAGCACTTGCTTGAAGGCAAGTGTGGCTTCCATTTCAATCTCCGTCCCGAGGCTTGCTTATGTGCGGGGAAACCGTTGTCTGATCGAGACCACCCCGATTTTGTTCCCACGGTGTTCACGCACAAAGCACCGTCCAAGCGCTTGTCGGTGGCTCGCTACCAGTGTTGGCGGCAACGCGTTACAGTAACGGCGTTGCCGGTAACACATTGTTTTTTCAATACAGTAAAGGGTAACATACTTAGGCTGCTTATTTAGAATAACGCGTACTAGTAGTTACGTTACTCGTTATATATTCTTCCCAAGACCTGAAAGAAGTAAATATTTTTTTGTGCTTTCATACTTGTTTTATTTCCAGCCCAGACGCAGCCGACGCTACGAGCTGATGGGACCAATCGACAGCGTCAAAAACACACCTTCATGGTGTCCGTCATGTTTCTGTACGTGTTCTACCATCGCTGAATCAATCATAAACAAGAAAGACCCAGTGACTCGCTCTTTTGACACTGCTTGATTGGTCCCATTAGCTCGTAGCTCCGGCTGCGTCTGGACTTAAGCTGAAACAAAGTATAGGTGCCAAGTCATTAATTATTGCACTACATTCCACCTACCTTCAAAATTTTGCTTGTCTTTTCCCCATGCAAAAAGCCCCATTTCGGAAAAACTCCAACGGCTACGCCCTTTGTCCCGGTGTTAAAAAATGCTGTCGCCAAACAAAAAAAAAAAAAAAATAACAACACTGTTACTGTCAATTTATAAATAAAAAGTAACGCAAAAGTAATGTGCGTTACTTTTTAATGGTAACGCTTTCCTTTCATTTTGAGGTAACGTAGGCCGGTGACGCGTTTCTTTTATTTGCAAGTAACGAGTAACATATTTTGTTACTTTTTTTCGGTAACGCCTACAACACTGCTCGCTAGGGCCGCAGTCAAGCGGAAGGAGACCGGTGGAAGAACGAAAAAACCATTACCGCTTGTCTTGCCTTTTGGTCATGAGGGTAAAAAAAATGTTGGACCTTACTTGAAGGACGCTGTATGTATTTAATCAATTAATAAATACACTTCTGTGGACCCATAGTGTGCTGATCCACTGTGCTGATCCCGCCGGCAGTGCAGAAAGCGGCTCTAAGTAATTGTAGGTCTCCAGTGACCTGTACACCTGCATCATGTTGGCCGTGAACTGGCTTGGCGAAAAAACTAAATAAACGACGACGTGTGCCATCGACGTCGGTGGCAGCAACTTCACGTCAGAACTCCAGCAGTTGTTGTTTACAGTGTACGGATCGTCTAAGATAAAAACTGTCCACGCACAGTTTTTCTCAATACCGCTGCCGTTCAGGCACGGGTAGCGAGCTCAAATAGTTGGGCATAAAATGCGACATATGTTGACAAGAAATACGATGCACAAATAAAGCTAGAAGCATCTCTACAATGAGCGCATGCCACACAACACAATGGTGAAAACACGGAGAAGCCTGGCCGCTTTTGCCCATGTAGCTTCTGCGCATGCGCCGCCTTCCGGTGTGTTGGTAAACAGCCGCATCGCGTGTCGGGCTGTAGTCTCAGCTAACTCGTCCACCTCCTTATATAGTCTCAATCTCGAGGTCATCTCCACCAACACAAAAGGACAAAGTCTATACAGTTAAGTGTCACAGTCTCCATCACACAATGCAAGAATGTAAACAACCTTACAGATCGACGTGATAAGGCAACATCCATCCACCAAAAGGATCTCTTCCTCTTCTATTCTTCACCTTCTGTATTTTTAAGTGGGAACTGTGTTAAGAATGGAAGGGGAAGAGATCCCTTTGTTTAAGTTTGAAGGCGGATGGATGTTGCCTTATCGCGTTGACCTGTAAGGTTGTCCACATTCTTGCATTGTGTGATGGAGATTGTGGCGCTTGAACTGTATAAACTTCATCCTTTTGTGTTGGTAGAAATCACCTGGAGATTGAGACTATATAAGGAGGTGGACTAAATAAACGAGTTGGCTGAGTTTGAGACGTTATAGACTAACATGCTATTTACAAACAAGTGTGTGTTTGCCCATACCAGGTGTGGGCAATGCGCCAAAACCTGATTGGCGTGGAGTGAAGCCTCTGTGCGTGCACTGCTCCGACAGCAGCGTTGTGTCAAAGCCACATGTTGGTTTATAGGGAAACCATTCCTCCGGCAGGGCTAGAAAGTGCAATTTGTCTGCAATGCATGGATGCTTTTGATTTGAGAAGTGAGTCGCCCTCTGAATGCAATCCTAATCACCGCAGTTGCGAACTGAGTGCTGCCCGAACCTCTGTCTTGGAGAAGGAACTCGAGGTGTGCCAGGCGCTACACGAACTGGAGCCCCAAAACAAGTGTGAGTCTGCATAAGGGCCCCTTGTGCGCACCCTCGTTGTTCAAAAAGCCGGGCCATTCACGAGGTCAGCTTCTTCCCATGCAGGGCCGCTGCTCACATGTGTGCTGCTTATGAGGGCTCTGGACGGATCCAGGTTCCAAGAGGAGATTGAGAAATTTCTCCTGGAGCTGACGACCGTCGACCCAATGAGATCTGCTTACTACCATGATCTTAGTGAGCCCTTCCACTGCTTCCTCTTTCTTGCCACCTGCACACTTCCCATACTTTACGGGAATTGAAGAGCGCAGTAGCCGTGGGCTCTCGTGCTGGTTCCTTGAGATCCAAAGGTTTCCCGGAGTTTGTGCCGTGGTTCCTTGAGTACCAGAGTTCCTTAAATTGATGTTAATTTTTTTCGGTATCCTTAGAGGTACGTGCCGAGTGCTGTAATTGATCACATTTGCACATTTGAACTAATGGCACGAGCGGCAGGTGCATATTATTCGATTGAAAGAAAATACAATTTGATCATTTTCCTAAACATCTTAATACTCTCTATCCTCAACTAAAGCATTTTTTCAAACTGGGCACAACCAGGCTAAACTATGTATTGAGGCATCGGCAGGGGTCGAGGAATCCTAGCTTTCTTTCTAGCGTGTGTAGCATTAGGAAGCAGGGATTGTATTGGAGAGGGTTCTAGGGAAACTGAAAGAATAAAACACTCTGAAGCAGTGATATCAATGTGTTTGAGCTTGTGAACCATTTGGTTTCAAGATTGCCTAGATCGAGGGCTGTGGTGCTCCAGCTGTCTTTCAAGGGGGCTGGGGTTCCTTTACACACCATTTTAATTTTAGGGAATCCTGTAAAGCAGTCATTAGGTAGTTTTCTAGCTGTTTTAGTCATCAGTCTGGAAATATTGTTCCAATTTCCACCTACAAGAGTGGAACTGAGATAGATTGTTTGTTTATTTCATTGTAACAAATTTTGGAGTGAAAGGGTAGAACTAACCTGACCCTTTGTGGAAAATTGTTCTGGCACCTCTTGGAAGTTATTTGGAAAGAGCAGAAAGGCACAAAACTGACCTCAAGATCAATGAGTGTGCTTGCTTCTTGCTTGACACAATTTAGCCTCAGTCGCTTTTTCGCTTTGAAAATCCAATTCTCTATCTATATGTTCATTGTCGGCATTCTTGGACTGACTCGCTCAGAATGAAATGACAGTCTCAATAAGATGTTGGCAAGGCTAGTGCAATTATTGACTCAATGCTTTAGCTTTGAAACTTTACTAATACTTTATTGAGGCGAGCGGACGTGTCATTTGGCTTCTTTTTCGAGCAACTTGCTTGTGACCTTGGAGTCCATAACTTCTCTAATACCAAACAGACAACACAAAGGCAAGCATGAACTGGATGCACTTTTAGTATGTGCCAGGTCGAGCCTTCCTTAGTAACCTCCTTGACGGTTCAGGATCGAAGCTAGTGTGGGTTAGGCCCAGTGAAGTCCATTCTAGTTCAAGAGCAGACCTATCTTATTGGCAAGGAATTCGTTGCAACTGCATGCACTGCATGTAAGAAATCTGTGAAAGTGAGCTCAGATACAGAAGCTCTTGAAGTCATCTAAAGAGCCTTCCCCACGAGTTGACACGTCTGGAAGTTGGAGTTTGTAGGGATATACTTGGAACTTATACCCCAACAGTGCATGAATTGCCCGTTGAATGCAATGAACTCGTGGCTCCCGTAGTGAATTTCTTTACATGCATTGAACTGCCATTGCAGGGTCCAAGTTTGCGATGGAGATTGCATTGGAGGGACTGGACGCGAACTTAGTGTGTGTGAGCTTAGCGGGGAAAAAGCTGACATGTGTGCATCACGCGGACCACCTGGCCCTGGTGCGTGATGTGGACCTCTCCAGGAACCGGATCAGGAGTCTACGTCCTTTATGCTTCCTGCGCAGCGTTGTCAGGTTGAATTTGTGTGGCAACAGGGTACTGACGTGCTTGGGCCTTGAGGAGCTGCCTCATCTGGAGTGGCTTTCACTAGAGGACAATGGTATCCTTTTGGGTCCAACTACCATGGTTGGTCCTTGTGCTGAAACGGTTTGCTCAATTTGTTCCACTTCATGTGGAGTCAGGTTACCGTATGCTATGGTTCATATCTCACACACTTTGTACTTTGGGAAGCACCATGGGACAGTTGAAAGTCAATTTAGTCTTGCGTAATATTAGTGGTGGCACAGGCTCCATGGATTGCTCTTTATCTTGTACACCTATGCTATGGGGCAAAGCACACTCAACTGTGCTAGGAAGGCTCCCAAAACAAACTTCTAATTCACATAAAAATAGTTTGAATACCACTGTTAGATTTTAAGGTCGTAGTGAATACTTCATTATTTAGTATATTAAAATACTGTAAATTAACCACATTCCCCTGATTTTTTGATTGCTGAAATATTTAATAAAGTAGCTAATTTATATTTAGCGTCTCAGTATGATAGTATTAATGGTATTCAGAAGTGTCTAATGTCATGCATATCCATTTGTGTTAATTGTTTAAAAGCATGATGAGAGTATTAGCTCTCAAGCTAAACTTTCTTCGTTGGTCTGGCACTTCTATTGAGGTCCTTGTTAGTTTGGGCCAAATTTCCCAGGTGGCCACCACATTGTACTAATAAGCTTGTTGAAAGGTTCTGTGATAATACTGAAGGGTATTTACACTACAGTGACTTAACCTCATTTTGTTTGAGAGTTGTTTCACCTTGATGCTACTCCAGAAATTTCATCTTTAGATGGCCTTGTTCCACTCAAGACATGTAGGAAGCTGACTACACTACTTCTCAAAGGAAACCCTGTTTGCAAATATGAAAAATACCTGTCAAGCTTTTTACCTCAAGTGAAAATATTTGACAACTCTTCAGCCTGAGAGCAGCTTCTACGTTTTCGCAGTTGCTGTTTTGAGCAATGGTGCTTTGTTAAGATATAACTTACTTTTTTACTTTTTGTATACTTTAAAATAATAATAAATTTTAGATATCAGGTGACTGTTGTAAGCTTGGGTTGTGGAGGTAGCACTAACTAGTGTGAAATTCTCACGACATTAGGAAGCTCTACGGTCTGTTCGTTAAACCTTATCTCAAGCATTTGAGTACCCTGCTGAACTTCTTTACAGCACTCAGGTCCAGTCACTTGAATGGCAGTGATTACCCAGGTTTGTCTTTTCTGTCCACCAGAAATTGACTAGAAAGCTGACCATTGCATCTTTTGTTGGTTGCTGTGGGACCATTTGGGGCTTGAGCCATCGTCACAAAAAGCTCCCAGGCGAAAATCAACCCACTTCCAGCTAGATTCCAGCTGGGTCCAGCTGGAATCCAGCTGGACTGCCTCATTTCTAGCTGGGAACAGTTCCATAATCCAGCTGGAAGTAGACTGATTTTTGCCTGGGCTGCTCAAGATAGTGTCAGTTTATTGTATTGCCCTCACTCAAAGTAACAATGCAAACAAGTTGATTTATACTAGAGTAAAAGTACATGGCACACAACACAATGAGGACAATCAAAACAAGTTGACAGGAAAAGTTTCACATATTGTGCACTGCCTACTTTTATTCCATAGCCATGAAAAAGTACATTTCAGGGTTTCTTGTAAACCTTGAGGGATTTGTGAACTGCTGTTTTTGGTCAATGAGTATGGTAGAAACAACAAAGTACATATTGCCATTGTGTAGGGGGTGTGCGACACCTAAAGGGGGTGCTCCGATCCAACTGATCTTCCTGCCAAATGACCCTGCTGGGAGCCTCACCGCAGCGCCACTGTCTTGTCGCAGGCTTTCCATTATCACTCCGCAGCCAATCAGATTGCAGCGTTACTCATTATAAATGCTGAAGAACGAATTGGGCAGCGAGGAGCATGAACGTATCAAGCCACGCCGTTCTCACCTGCCTTTGTGTTTACTTGTGCGGCTCCGAAGAGAATGAACAAGTTAAACAGGCCCTGGCTTTCTGTACAATATGGGGACTGCTTCTTCGAAAACTAATAGGGAAGAGGAAACTACGACTGGCTGGGTGTAAAAATGCCAGCCCGGATATCTGACAAAGGGGAAGGGAAGGGGGGGGGGGGGGCATACACAGCCCAGACGGAACACATGGAGACATATCGCACGACCACCGACACCTGCAGATGGTCCCCACAAGAGAAGAGCGAGCCAAAGTCGGTGAAACAGACCTTGTTTGCCGCCCCGGTTTTGTGCTGACTCGTCCGTCAATTCTCGGTCGTGGGATAAACCAGGCAATTTTTTGTTTGTTAAATGCGTGACCACACTTCTTGTTTGTTTGTTTTTTCTCAGCCAGGAGTTGCGAGAAAAGGCTCGAGGTACACCTAAGCGCTTCTTACGAGTTGTGAATGCGAAAGCATGAGTGTCGTTCTTGCTCGCATCCTTGTGAAGCTGCCGCGCCTCGCTGACATCGGCCATGCTGCCGCACGGAATCTGCTGCAGGAATCGGCTGGTGCGCTCCGGCGGCCGTGCAGCCGCCCGAGCGCACCAGCCGATTCTTTTTGTAGGTGCGCTGGCGGCGCGGGCACACAGCACCATGGGGTGGCACTAATTGAAACTGACGTGCAGCAGCGTCCTTCGGCTTCATTTACTTGCCGTTTTGCGTGGCTTTTTGCGCGACCTCAAAGCTGGCATGCCTCTGATCATGGCCTCACAAATTTATCTGCTGTTTGGTGCGGCTGATGACGTCGGCTCGCTTCATGGGACAGACTTCCAGATGGCAATTTCTGATTTCACCATGTCTGCAGCAGTGGGTTCTAGTTTATAGTAAAAAAGATAACTATCATCTTAAACAGTTAGTTACCAAACAAAAAAGTAACTGTTACAGTTACAAGTTACCAGTACTAGGGAGTGTAATGCGTTACAGGTAAAAGTTAACGAAAAAATTGAGAGTCCTTCCACCCTGTGAAGAGGGAAGTCCAGCAAAGCTGGCGCTCTGGCAATGACTGTTTATTATAGTGCGAGTAAGCCGCGCTGAAAGGTGGCCACCGAAAAGCGCACGGCATTGTGCAATGTCGGGGGGGGGGGGGTGGGGGGGAGAGGAGAGGGAGGAGGAGGAGGAGGAGGAGGAGGGAGGGAGGACGTTTTATCATAGCATGGCTACGCGAATCACTGTGCAGGCCCTAGTGCGCCGCACAGGTGGCCGCCGAAGAGCGCGGGGCATTGCGCAATGTCGGGGGGGGGGGGGGCCGGAAAGGGAAGGGCGGGGACGGGGGCGGGGGCGAGGGGCGGGGTAGAGACGCCGTGCGTGGCAAGGAGCATACACGATTCTGGAAAGAGGTGGCCGGTGGCGGTGGAGAGGAGTATAAAGTGGGGCATACATCAGCTGCGTTCGATTTACTTGCACCTCCTGCACCAGTGCAGAAAAGTGTAGTGCAGTCTACTTCCGGTATCTGCATTTAGATGCGACCGGAAGTACACCGTCCTACACTTCTTTGCACCGGTGCAGGAGGTGTAAGTAAATCGAGCACAGCTATCGTTGCGTTTGAAAATTTATGGTTATACGTGGCTGTTCTAGTGAGACAGCTTAAATAAAGCAATAAAAAAAAAAAAAAAAAAAGCTATTCTCGGGGCACTTTCACCGCCCGGCTTACTGATTAGATACTGAGAAGTCATAATTAGGGATGCCACGAACCACCCTAGGTTCGATTTCGAAAGGTTTAGATTTTTTCGAACTGAACTGATGTTTGAATTTGAAAGGTTTAGATATTTTCGACTGTACGAAGATTCGAATTCGAAAAATTCGCAACATTCAAAAATTGTGGAGTTTCGAATTAGAAAAGTTCGAAGCTTTCACGGTTTCTAAAAGTTTGGGTTCGATTATTTTGAATATTTTTTTACTTGAAGTTCGAGAAATTCGAAGATTTCGAACTTTCCTAACTTGAAATTCGAGAGATTCGAATGTTTCGGATTTCTTTAGATCTGAAATTCGAAAAATTCGAACGTTTAGAATTCTTATAGACATAAATTTAGATAAATTCGAAGATTTCGAATTTCTTTCTACATAAAGTTCGAAGGTTTCGATTCTTTTTTAGCGCTAAATTCGGAAAAGAACAAAAAAACAACTTAGGTTTCGAATTTCTTTTAAGTCCAACTGCGCAAAGCTCGAAGTCCGGTTTACATGTTCCGCCACAGTTTCAGTTTCAAATAAAGGCCCGTTCACACTCTTGCGACCGAGTAAGACCGAGAGAGCACACCGGTTTTTAAGCCTCTTGCGATCTCTTAGGACCAGCTCCGCTGCAGCGCACCCAATCCTAAGAAGTCGCCAAAGGCTTAAAAACCGGTCTAGTCTCTCTCGGTCTTACTCGGTCCCAAGAGTGTGAATGGCGCTAATCGTTTTCACGCCTCACTGGTTTTCACGAAATCAGGTTTAGAAATGTTTGGTTGTGACATTTAGACTGCGCAAAGTTGGTCAGGCAATTAAATGGGATGACGAGTGTCCTGGATGTGCTGGATTATTTGCCAGTGCAGAGTGACGTGTGCAGATCAGTAATTGTGACCGCCAGCCCGGGGGGGGGCGGCCACTGTTTAACGATACTCATCCAGTTCGAAACGGCCAGGGGCAGGCAGGTGGTTGAGGCTCAGAAAAACCTTGAAGCGATCTGGCAAACTGCCTACCTGCCCCCTTGCACGCTGGTAGTAATCTGCTCGAACTCCACCCGAGTGACGCTGGCATATAGTAAGTTTAGTTTGTACATGGTGCAAAATCCTGATACTGGGAATGAAATTTGAAAGAAAAAGTGTAAGAAGACAGAAAAAAAGGGGACAGGACAACCAACGTCTCAAACTCGTCTCACGACAACGTCTCAAACTCAACTTGGCTGAAAACTCTGCTGAGGAGACGTTGTCCTGTCCCCTTTTCACTTTCTTCTTGCACTATTTCTTTTGAATTTCATTCCCAGTCTCGGGATTTTGCATCATGATCAACATACGCCAGCTCGCCTGCACCTTGACAATTTTTTTGTTTACGGTATAATTGCTTTGGAGGTTTATTTTCTGGGGTGGAAGAAACGCCGAGCAAAAAGCAGTGAAGCACAGAAGCTGACACAACTTGAGGTCGAGGAGCGTTCTACCATACCAGTAGCGTCGGAAGAGGAAAAACGGGAAGGGGGGGGGGGGGGGGGGGGCTCCAGTCTCTCTCTGCTCAGGTATTTCGGACTGTTAAAGAAAACAATACAGGGAAAAAAGAGGGCATGGTCGAGCTTATTTTAATCTGAAATTGTTTATGCATATGTATAGCTACTGTCGCTCTTCACTGCGTAAAAGATAGCATAGATGGTCATTGTTAGAAGCTCGTTGTCAGAAGGCGCTACTCGTCACATGCTCGGTGGTTCGGAAGTTCAAAGCTATGTCTTTTCGACCTAAATAACTGTGCCATTGGTAAAAAATAATAAATATATAAACATAACAATAAATGCAAAAAATAAAAAGCTGGAGAAAAAAAAAAGCTATCAAGAATCCACCGGAAGTGTTGTATTCTTGCATATTCACAGGTCCAGAACTACGAAACAAGTTTCTCCTACCAAAATGTGTACAGGCTAAAAGAAACATGTCCCAAAAACGTAAAATGAAAAAAAAAAAAAAAAAAAAGTATATAGTATATTTTTTTTAACGACGTGCCGAGTTTGAACAATATTAGAAATCCTTTTTGCCTGAATTAATTTGTATTCTGCAGATGGTAGTGATATGTACTGTCTGTGGTGTTAATTTAAATGCGATACCTCAAACAATTGGGCATAATTGCCCGTAGATACATGTTTGGATATTTCTTCGAAACTCGTCTTGAACAACAATAATCATATCTTAAGACTACACTTACCTAGGCTCCCTAGGCTATACATAGATCATTCTTAAAAAGTTTAACAGCTCTACCATAAATATCTTCGGCTATAGCACGCTTCAAATGTGGCACAAACGACAATTGTCAAAAACTGTTGTCCTTCCTCGCTCCTTCGGGAATCTATTTCTTTAAAATCAAGCATGCCAGATGATTGAAATAAACGGCATTGTCTTTCGCAAGAAATGCGGCGCCACATGTAAAAATGCAAGAAAAAAAAATTACGAATGTCGGCTTGAATCCAAATGAAACCGCCCGCCCGTCTTTCGAAGTTCGACAAACTTCGAACTTTTACCCTAAAATTTCGAAGTTCGTCGACCTTTTGACTTTTCAGGAATCGAAAGTTTGACAATTTTCGAATTCTTTAGATTAATAAGTTCGAAAATTATAGAATTTCTTAGCGTAGGAAGTTCGAAATTTGAAAAGCTCCAAACTTTTTAGTACAAGACATTCAAAAGTTCGAAAATCATAGAATTTTTTAGTCTATCAAGTTCGACAAGCATCGAAGTTTACAGCGTAATAAGTTTGAATTTCGAAAAGCATCAAACTTCTTAGTTTAACAAGTTCGAAAATTCGACTTACGTCGAATTTCTCGATATGGAAAAGGTCGAACATTCGAAATCTTTCGAACCTTTCTAACTGCTTGATTCGATCATCAAACTTTCGGTTCGAAAAAAGTTAGCGGCATCCCATAGTCACAATGCTCACAAAAAAATTCTTTTTTATCAGACAATTTCTAACCTCACGGACACGCGTTCCCTCTCCCAGTTTGAGCGCTAAACCAAAAAGTATTTGGCCGAATAAAGCTGTGCGAGGGTGGGCTATCCTCCTCTCCCCGGAAATGCGAAAAAAAGTTGTCCCCAAGTATACACCTTTCCAAAAAACGCTCCTAGGCCGCCGCCATGTTGCTGATGCTGGTGCAGCTGGTGCGACTCTCGCGCCCTCTATCAGCTAGAAATTTTCTGCCACTCTCTGGGAATGTGAAGACCCGCTCAGTGTGGTTTTCTACCTACGTTTTTGCGGTTTTGCATTCAACGTTTTCTCGCCCCCTCTTGAAAGTTTCCACTTAATTTTTTTTATGTGTGCTGCGTACCATTTTTGGTGTTATCTTCCACTGTCGGAAATAAGGCTGGTAAGTGCCTGCCATTCAAGCTTTTCTGCTCGACATTCACGGGAAACGAAGAAGGTGAAGGACGTCGAACGACCCTCGACGCGATTTTGCGAACATTGTTCTCCCCCCTCCCAGAGATAATCCGTGTAGAATCCTCAGTCATCTCCAAAAATAGTTGTCCGGGTTGGGGTGAGAAACGGGTCAGTCGCGTTTGTTTCTTTGCCTTGGTGCGGTTGTGAAAAAAGGAAGCTCTCCCCAAAACGAAGTCATCTCGGATTCCGTCCGATCGTCAAGATGTGACTGTCGTTGACTGTGACTGTGTTATTTGAGATCTTTCTCAAATGAATTCTTTTCGGATAACGCTGCATCGTGTGGTACGTACGATATATATGTTAGAATGTTAACACTTCCTCAATTGTATGTCCGTGTCCTGTCCATCGGTAAACACGTTATTTGTGAGCGTGAAAAATGCATGCCTTTCGGCCCTCTTCTGTTGCAATTTATTTCTGACAGCAAAGCGCTTTGTTGTTTCACATGTGGCGAATCCTGGAGCGCCGTCAAAGCTTACCGTAAGCAAAAAAGAAATAACTAGAACTATACATTCCAGTCGCATTTGTTCCCTCACCATTGCTGCATTTGTTCCGTCGCGCGCGTACCCAACAAAAATAGTTTACAGTTTTTTTTTTGTTTTTTTTTTGTTTTTTTTCAAATGTGGCACAATGCTTTCTCAATGTCCTCGGGAAAATATATGTACAGTCTCCGGCAATATGAAAGACCCACTGGGAGCGCATGGCCGAGGAGGTGGCTGGCGGAGGCGCTGCGAGCGCTCCGGGCAATTCCATTCTGCTTCGAGGAAAGGATGCTCACTCGGGCTCAGCTAAAGCGAAACGCGCTTATCAGATTGTGCTGAGCCCCGAGTGAGCGTCCTCCCCTCGAAGCAGAATGAAATTGCCCGGAGCGCTCGCAGCGCCCCCGCCAGCCACCGCCTCGGCCATGCACTCCCAGTGGGTCTTTCATATTGCCGGAGATTGTACCATGAAACACAAAATATAGCGGGAAAAGACGAGAATTTAGCTGCCAGCAGCATTTGAAACTGCGCCTACGCAGGGCTGCACCTATTGAAATCACAGTCCACTCGGTTAGGATTAGGAGGGACGCCAGTGAGAGTCTAGCCTCAAACTCGGTGACTGGGCTCGAAAACGGTTTGTTGCCCCTGGGGTCGAGCGTTATTTGGAAAGGTGCACTGACGTCGCATCGCATACTTTTGAACACCATGTAAGAGGAGGAGAGAGAAGCTGCTTTTGTAAAAATTTTGAGTGATAGGTTAATCTTCTAAAATCTGGAAGGAGAATAGCGACGCCTGTGCAAATCCGGGAGGCACAAAGGAGGATCCTGATAAGAGGGGAGCTCCTTCCCCTTTTCTCTGGAGGGCATCGGAAATGACGTCATGTAAAAACCACGCATAATTTTTTTTTTTTTTTTTTTAATTTAGCAGTTTGTTGGACAAATGCTCCATCAAAAGGAGATGGCGCAGGCTACCGCCGCATTCGAAGATTGCGCAAACTACCGCCACCAGAGTGCACCAGAGTACCAGAGTCTGGCCGGTCTGGCGGTCGCCTGTCTGGCCGCGCGTTTGTCCAGGACACGGTTGTTTTTGTCGTTCTGGGTCAGTGGTCTGGTTCTACATTTGTTGCAACTTGTATCGCTTGGGTAAGTAATTTCTGAGCGTTAAAGTTCCCAAAGTTTACCTGGTACTGCATATAAGGTGTTTAAATACTTGTCGTCTCTGACAAGTCTTCGCTGTAGCCATGGACCGGGTCCACGAAGCTGACAGGCGATCTTGGATCGGCGAGAAGATGAAAGTACGAGACTTCAAACAGCAATGGACAGACACGTTCGGCTCTTGCGAAAGCGATCCCGAAGAAAATGGTCTTCGGTACAAAATCGTGGAGCTCATGAACGTTCCCGAATCTGTGGTGAAAGCCCTAGAGGAGGAGTGTGGGTAAGTTATAACTTAATTCCATTTTTCTTGCTAGTGGATTCGAGCGCGTTTCATAATCTTCAACCTTTTAGCTAGCACAGCTGTAAATAGTTGATTTTCCTTTACTTCAATGCACATTTCGAAGATTTGTGCAGCGTCGAAATACAAAGAACACGGATGGATGGATACTAACAGCTCAGAGCCGTATATGTAGAGAGTTTGGCCATTCGTTGGGAAGTATAGGAGACAAATGAAGCGGCGCCATTGGCCGAAAGCGGGCTGGGCGTGTTCCAGGGCGTCTTCAGAAATTCGAATGTGACCAACCAGAAGCCGGAAATAATACCCTGGCGGTGGTCGCGAGAAACAAACCTGATAACTGCATTGGAGTAACTCTTGATGGCTGAAAATATGGTACACGTGATGTTTCAATCCCACTCATCTAAAGTGATGGTGGAAGAGTGCGACTAGCGGAAAGATCGACATAATCCTTACGCCAAACGCCGAGCGCCGGGAATCTGCCGTCAGAGCGGTCACACTCTGTCCGCGCAAAACAGAGTTGAGCGGCGCATTCGTTTCTTACATCTTTCTGCATGATCATGATAAAACAACACGTGCACTCTATTTTCAACCACAATGAGTTACTACACTTCACTCTTACGCACTTATTAAAACCATTTACGAACAGAGACCTTCGATGATCGATCGGCTCAGAACTGTTTCTCGCTACCACCGCTAGGGGATTCTTTTCGGCTTCTGGTTGGTCAAGAGAGCATGCCAAGCCCTTTCCGAGTCTGCCGCACGCCCTGGCTCTGCCCGCGCCTCCCATTGACCAAACTCTCTAAATATACGGCTCTGTAACAGCTGTACCCTTTATAACGGGCGGTAGCTTGCGCCACCGTTACTATATCAACTCAGTTGTGGAACTTTCCATAGACGCCGTACATTGGAGGGAGTCCGAAACCGTGTCCGATTCTTTCGCGGCGAGGTGGCGCTGCCGGCGCTTTATTCCGCGCATTTTCGTCTGCTACTGCTCCGCGGCTGCCAACCGCTGCAACTGTTTGCGAGTCCCAACCCGACTCCTCGGCGACCAGCATGGTTTACGGTCGGTTTTCGCCCTTTCGCCAGTAAAAATGCAACTTGAGCATGATAAGCGGTGGGACCATGATGGCATACGCCGCCGCCTTAGCTGTGCTGACAGCGCGAAGCGTTTCGAACAACCCAAATTAGGGGAATCGGTGGCCGAGTGGGCTCGCACACCCAACTCGACGCGCGTGGAGCGAAAGCTCGCGCTGCAGAACCCAGGGATCCTGGGTTCGAGCCCACCTCTGCCCGCTTCGCTCTGGATGAGCATCGCACCGGCGTGCGGTCGTGTATCACTACTGCGTGGTGCACGTTAAAGACCCCAGGCTAGCGGTTGTATTGCGCTGGCTAAATTGCTCATCTACAGCATGTGACTCGTCGCAACTTTAAATGGCTGACCAACTACACACCGTATAAACATCCCCACAACCCAATTATATTAACAACCCAAATTCGTCGGCGCCACAATCTGGTGGCTACAATCAGGTCAAGTTTGTACATACTGTAATGGTAGATGTGCCGTCTTACCAAGGCAATTCCATTGCTGGCCGTGATCGCAGCACACCGATACGAGCGTAAGTATCCGAACGCTTCGATTGCGTTGGGGGCATTGCTTTCGTTCTGTCGCTGTTATAATCTTGGGCACGCTGATTTGATGGAGGAGCTAAGTTCAGCACGCCTGATTCTCTGCCTACCTGGAGCTTTGAAGAAATGTCTCGCCTGAGTACCTGGCCCCGACTGTTTACGATGTCGACACTCCGGTGCGCAGCACGCCACCGGCATATTTCAATAAGATTGTACACTCACGGATTGTCGCTTCACAACTTTTGAGCAATGTGTGAACTCTGATGTTCTGGTATAAGCTTCTCTGCGTTGTTTTTCCGAGGCGTGAAATGCGCGCAGACATTCCCGTCGCAGCGGTTGCAGACGACCGAAGGAGCGTTCACGCGCGCGCGATCATTATTTTGTGCCGACAGCAGACGACACTTGGAATGTGGTTCAGAGTCAACAGGAACACAGATTCAATGTTTTACTGGTTAAAACAAGTATCAGAATTTCTCATATGTGACTACCAACTGCAGCAGAAACAATTTGAAAGTCGTCTGCTACTGTCAGAAAAAGCCCCACGAACATCCTAAGCTCAGTAGGCCAGACGCAACGGCCACAAGTGCGCCGAAAAATGATGATTATAGCGAGTATTAATGCGGAGCACGTGCCCTCTAACAAGCGCCACGCGAAGGGACCCCCCTCCGGAGCGGAGTTCCAGAACTGAGTTGGTTCTAATAACGTTGGCTTGTGCCACCTAGCGGGTCCATATCACAAGAGCGAATGACATTTTAGCGAACGGCGACATTTGAGCGCGAATGGTCGTTTTAGCGAATAACGGGGGCGCGCGTTAACCCATCCGTCGCGCTGCGCTTTACGCCGCTTCGCGGCGACAGTCTACGGCAACTCGTTACAAAAATATGAACTCACTTGGCCCACCCGAAAACGCCGCTTCGCGGCGTCCGACTATTCGCTAAAGTGTCGTTCGATGAAACGTGGGCGTTCGCTAAAACGTCATTCGATCAAGTGAGTGCCTCCCCCACTTAGCCTAGAAACCAGAAGTATGATTAATCCCGTTGCCGTTCTAAGCCAATAGACATCTTCCAAAACCGACGCGCCCCATCGCGGCGAAATGCCACACAGCGCACTCTGGGAACTAGTTGGCCACTCAGTTTCGGTTTCGACTGTGCAGCTTCATCTCATGCTATCACGCCGTGATCGAACGCGCTGCTTGCGTTTTCGACTATCTGACTTTTGACGAATGTACAATACACTCATTTTCGAGCGATACAAAAACGAAGACCGGGGCACTTTCCTTGGTTCCCGAAACACCGGATATTGTGCGTGCATATGCAAACGTAGTAAGATGTGTTATCTTTCTTGGTCTTGGCCCGGATCGGAAGGTCGAAAGGAGACTGCTCACATTGGTAAAAAGATGATAAAAGTGAGATTTAATACTTATAGTGTGAATTGGGGTGGCCACACAGGCTGAGTTTCCGTTCTTCTGTCGCCATGCAGGCTGAGGTTCCGTGTCTCCACACAGGCTGAGGTTCCGTGTCGCCACACAGGCTGAGGTTTTCGCCACACAGGCTGAGGTTTTCGTTTACCGTTGCCACACAGGCGTTACGGCGCAGCGAGACGCACGCTGTGCCGTAGGTTGAGAGAGTCTGCTCTTCGGAGACCCCGCCCGTAACAGCCAGCTCCGTGTAACATGATCCGTGGGAGCGGCCTCGGTGCTCGGTGCCTCGCTCGGACTTCGGACGAAAGTTCTTATACGCGTAGTCGCGCCGCCGGATACTAGCAATAAGGGGTCGCTTACGTGTGGGACAAGTCTACAGACGTGGCTTAGTCACCTCACCCCACGAGTGCATCTCTGAGCTAGTGTCAGTAATCCCGTCTAGTACCAGTGAACTATAACTGAAATTTGGTCACCTTGAGCCTTACATGTATTTTGTTTGCCAAACGTCCGCTTCTTGTTACTTCATTGGTTGAAAAGCCAGCCGCATCCTTACAGGAGTATCAAATTCGAGCCAACGTTGGCGCATTAACTTTTAGGGAAACGCAATAAGTTTGACCTCACTGCTGCACAAAAGTTACTATAATGTCTTCCTCGTGTCATCACATATATCTCACACTCAAATTTTATACTGATATAATATTAGGTTTTTGCAAACGCTGAGATCGGCTAGCTACGACAGAGGCCCTAACAAGCGTCCCCTACTCCTCGCTAAGCCTTTTTGGACGACCTTTTAATGACGGCCAAGATCTGTGCCTGAACGGTGTGTCTGAAGTTATCTCGGCATACTCAGTGAGGAAGAAAGCAAACACGTAACAAATATTATGGCCATTAGCAACCGTCAAATGCGCTTTGAATAATTTCATTCGTTTGGCGCGCCTGCTCGACTTTTGCTTTCTTAAAACGCTTTGTATGTGCGAATCTGCCTATATGATTGCAGGATAACTTTATGCGTATACGCGATGTTGAATATTAGTGAAATGCAAGCGGGTGGGGACTTCACGAATTCGTGCAGTGCTGCGGGGCAGTACAGATAAGCGATAAGAACTGTGTTCAAATGGAGCTTTTCAATGGCGCCTCCGAGTTTTACCTCGCATACTCAGGCGTATTAAGAGAAACAGTAATTGCAAAAAGTTATATTTCGTCTATGGACGCACGAAACAAACAAACTTCCTGATCAAGAACACTAATGTAAAGGCGCAAGCTCGATGTATGCATACTTACTGGTGTCTACAGCTTGTTGATTCGTACACAAACAAGATCCCTGAGCTTCGCACTGTCGAGATGCCCAGCACTGACTAGTCCACATGCCTTGAAACGCTAACAGAAAGGCTCAAGTACAAAAATACAACAAGCATGCGTTAAGACAAGCTATACGTCTCGAGCTTGTGCTAAAGCTTCGAGGTCTGGCCATTTAGGTTAGTTTAGAGACCACAAATGACGCTCTCGGGTCCAGAAAACATAAAATAACAGCCGTTTATAGTCCACGGTATGTGTATAATCTCTCGTCGACGTGTTGATTGAAACCGAAACCATGGCGCTCTCCTCCCTGGCCAACTAGTTCCCAGAATGCAACGCGCGCCGTGTTGCATGCAGGGCTTTATGGAAGTAGTCTGTCCCTCCTCTGCATTTTTCTAACTGTCACCATAGAGTTATTATAATAAACGCTAGAGGCTCAGCTGGCGCTAGTGTCTACAGGACTTCCGGTTGCAAATTGAAGCAGACAGCATGCAGTCTACATTTCCAGCCTCCCTGTGTATTCCTATGGGAAAACGCGCGTTACTTTTGTCTCTTCGCCGTAAAATAACATGAATAAGTTCTGTCATTTCAGTTGTACCGGATAGTATGTACCTTTATTGGTATTGTGAAAGTGTAATTGCTTTAGTTACAGCATTTTTCTTTACCACTGAACCATGTTAAACTTTGCTCTATTTCAGGCCCAAATCTCTGTTTCAAGAAAGGTATGTGAAAACGAGCGATGATTCTAAGCAAACTAACGATCGAAAGTAATGTCGAGTGTGTTCAAGGTTTGCTAGCATTTCGGTGGTGCTTATATATTGCTAATATGCCCGTCCTGTCATTGGATGAAAATGACTCCATCGTGCATCTTTACGATCGGTTGAAGAAACATTTAAACGCAAAAAAGAAAGCATGTGAGCTACGAAATGTGTGTCTTTTTATTATTTCCTATGTTGGGCAGTTTTTATCGCGCACCTGTCCTCTGGCTTCCCCCTATTTGCAAAGATTTGGAGCGTGCGGGCGATGATTTGAACCAAGAACAAGCATCTTCACACATATCCATGAGCAGAAAGAATAAAGCAGTACTTATTTATTGCAAATCTGACTATATTACGTGGCTTTCAATTTGTTTTGATCGTCTGCGTGCACAAGGAGTTACTTATCCAGTGTTACTGCATAGTTCTTGCCGTCTCTCTTGGTTTTCCTTATGTCCTTCGTTCGTCTGGCATGTATATCCCCCATGTTCTAAAGCGTCGACGCCGTGTTTGCGCTAATAGTGTCCGACAGTGCACATAAATGCACGTATGAAGCGGTTTTAACACCGTTCTTTATGCCACGAATTTCAAATAAAAATGCTGTAGCTGACCAATTATTTCGTCTGCGTGACTGAGAAATGTTCCAATGTGCGTAGTACTTACAAATTATTCGTGATATTTGCTCTTATAATCGAGCGCAGAGAGAAAATGCACTCGCTTGGTCCCATAGACATGCATTACCGGAAGTCAATTTCTGACTGCTTGCTATCTGCTTCAAAATGCAACAGCTCACTAGTGCCACCTGAGCCTCTAGCATTTATTGTAATAACTCTATGACTACGTATCACCAGGTGGTGTGGGATATCGCCAGGATGACCTTTGGGGGATGGGGCAAAAATCACTTGGTAGTCTTTCTAATGTTCAGATGATGAGGGATGCTAAAGTTTTGTTTTGCTCGCCTTTTTTTTTTGTGTGTGTTTTTGAATGCATGTTGTTGACATAAAACGCTTCTCTTAAAATTAATGATAAAAAGACCCTAGGTAGTTCCCCGAGCTTTCTCACAATCATAGAACTTATTCGTTATAGAAAGTTTAGAAGTGTCTTCAAGGTGTCTTTAACAACTTTCAGGCTCCATTCACTTTCATCTGTACAAGTGCTGGACTTGGAAGACATTCCAGACAATGTAGACCTCGTGACTGTAAGGTGAGTTTCATTCTGTCATCCTGTTATTCTTGTTTTACAAGAGGATTTTCGCCCCTTATTCGTTGGCAATCAGCCTTTAGCAATGAACCTTTTCCACACAAAGACGGCACCAAGCGGCCGGTGCACTAGCTATTTTTGTGGGGATCGGATAAATTGACGCACGGATGCATACGGTGAGACCCTTTAATCGGGTGGTGACTTGTGCCAGTGGCTAGCTCCACGGGGCCAAGCCCAAACTATGTGCCAGCAGTCTGTCCTCATTTCGCCCTAATTTTGAATTGGGAGAAATTAAGTTAAATTGATTCTCGCAAACTATTTCATCCTAATTTCTATTCTCTTCGCACTTTCTCTGTGTGCAGAATGGCAATTTTACAATCGAAGCGACCCAAGTACCGACCATCGGCACATCCTTTGGTAATGATACCGGGTTTCAGCCTGATTGTATTGGGGCTGCGAAAGGGTTCCCTCCGATCCTATATTATCTAGATGGACGAACGTTTTTTTTTGAGAAGACTGCGATGCACATAGTAATGTTGCACTTATTTGAAAAAAAGTGGCTCGGCAACACATAAGTGGAGGACACGGAAGAGGTGCTGCATCTCCCCATGGAACCTCCACCACTTATGCTTATGTCTATTGAACATAATTTGAGCCTTCACGGCTGTTTGAGGAGAGCATGTGCATGCGTAGAACTCCTTTTGGAAAAGGTCCATTGCATTGTGTTAGTCTTCGATGGGGCAACATGGCTGGGAAGCTAGACAGTGTAAAGTTTCTCCAGAACTGTTACCGGGCTGAAGTTTACTGCTATTTAAATGATGTTATGTTTTGCCTCATATGCTCAAAAATGTAATGTACTAGAGTGTTGTGTGTCTTTATTGTGTTGACATGAGGCTAAAGCTGAAGGTGTGTTATATTTAAAAGGAAGTGCTTGAACCTTGTTTCTTTTCCCTCCAGGGTTAAAGTTCATAACCCTTGCCATTTGATGCCTGGGTGAGGCTAGAAAATGTTTTTAAAATAGCCTTTAAACAATGCCTTTCTGGATCTCAACTGGTGGTGTGCATATTGCATTGTTCAGCACACACTAGTTTGCCACTTTGGCAAGTGATCAAGGCACATGCCACATACGCTGGAAACACTGGAAACTGTACCAACTAACTGAACTTGTGCTTCTACAAGCAACAACCAAGCTGATGGGCACAAGGTGGCATCGTGGCTCACCGTCTTTTCCTTGCTTTTTTTTTTCCTCCATGTTTAGTAGTAGTTTTGTTACAAACAGTTTTTATATTTGGATTTATTTGACAGACAGACAATATTATGTCCAAAATCCTCATAAATGATTTTGTTTTGTTTTTTTCCTTCAAAATGCTCTTCTATTTTATTTATTTTTTGGTAATTTGGTGCTGGCACACTACTCAAATAGCATGCATGCCTAGACACATCAACTGTGTCACATATCCAAGCAGTTGAGCCAGTTACCACTATGCATACATGCTTACCAGCAGCAATGCCAAAGCCTCAAAAATCTATTTGGCTATAGTGTGGAGACCGTTAACATTGTGCGGTTCCAGGAACTTTCTAAGTGGACCTCACATATGGTACATGCGTGTAAGGTTCTGCATTTTTGGAGTGCAGTTTTTTTTGCCGGGAATTCGGAGCTCTTCAAAGAATTTTGCTCATATTAACTTGGAAGCCAAAATTTTGTGGAGCTGCAGTGTGCAAACTGCATCCTGATTTTGAATCTGTTTGCTCTGCCTCTTTTAAAATAATGTTTTGTAGCTTAAAACATACAACAAAAAAACACTTGTACAAGTAAAATAAAAAAAAAAAGCCTAATGTGACAACCTTTATAGATCATCGCTCTTGAAATTCTTCCAAAAAAATGGGCTCCAAGTCACTCTTTGATTGGCCCGAAACCCTGAAAAATGGGAATTTTTCGGATAAATTATAATAGGAAAATATAGTAAGTGCTACTTTTTTTTAAAGTGACCTAAAAATGCAATATTTTTTTATTGGGGAGTTTTATTCCTCTAGTATCACAGGCAGAATTTCAAAAGTTTATTAGTACACAAAAATCTGTATATTTCTGTGTGCACATGAACCTTGTTATAGTTGTGCACATATGTGCTAAGCATTTTGCATTTCCACAGATGCGTTAAGCATCCTGCATCCTCTGGGGTTGAATGTAATGAAAAACAGTGAATTAGGGCAGTCCTGTTGATGTTTTCATGCTAAAACACCAAGTACTGCACAGCCACCTTATTTGAGGTTGCGGACTGTGTGGAATTGCCGCCACCACCCGAATTGTTGTCGTCGTCGTCATCGGATTCTTTTGGAAGAGCTGAGTTCACCAACAACGTCATCATCGTCTTCACTCGACAAACAAAACTCCACCTCTTCCGAGTCGCTCGAGCTTCCTTCAGCGATCGCTTTTCTTTTTTGCGGTGAAGTTCCGCGTGCTCCGTTGGCTGGTGACGGCATTTTTAAATGACTGTTGCCAGAGTATCTTTTCATTTATCCTACCAGCGGCGGCGAATAAAGACACCAACTAGAACGATGGCGGTCATCTATGATCAGCGCTGCAAACCACTCGAACGAGCGTAGCTCGTCCGTGGAATTGGGGGCTACCGAAAAAACCACTGGACGTGCTGAGCTCGTCCGTGGCATTTTTAACCAGAAAGTTGCCGCCGAGCTCAGCTCATGCAAGGCACTTAAGAGGGTTAAGGAAGTTTCTCTTTTTATTTGTAAATGCAAAACTCTAGTTATGAGAGCCAAATAGCAACACAAAAAATGTTTACCTTCCATCTTTACTTCCTTTTATGCTCCGAGGTGTGTGCTATAGGGGCAACCGTGGCCCGTTCAGTGCTCGTCAGGCGTGCTCATATCTGCTCTACCTCGAGGCCGGACCTCAGTTGTGCTGTGGCGACGTGCAGCAACAGCAGCGGCTGCAGCGGCATCAAAATGCCGTCTGATGAGGAATGTGAGCATGTACCAAGGAAGAGACCTAAAGTGCTGCCGTACACCCCTGTCCCATCCGCGTCGTCGTCATTGTCGCAGCGCGTGCTCAGAACGATGCTCGAGGTCAAAACATTGCTCATGTGCAGCTTTGATTGGTGCACAAGGTCCGTGAGCGCACGGGTACGCATAGCTTTGTCTTCACTGCCTGCAAGGAATGCACGCGGATGCACGTTTAACGTTCATTCCATGCAATCAGAATTGTTGTTCTTGAAAGGTGATAAATGGGACCTAGTTCTGAGCATGCGCTGCGAACAACATCCCACAATATGGTGTTTCCGATTAATTGCCGAGTCCAAACAGAGCCGTGTCTCTGTTCACCACTGTGTAGTTGAAGTTTACACATAACTTTATTGTTGGTTTGTGTTTCAGGCTGCAGAAGCAGGACCTGGATAAACGTGCATCAGACGCGGCCTACCGCTCAAGGTCGATCCGAATTTTTAAGATGATGGGCTCCACCTCCAAAGTTGTGAGTTTTTATTTATTTATTTTCTTTCAAAATACCAGTCCCTCTGGGAGTAAGATGGAGATGGCTTGCACACTATCTAAGAATATACAATAAAAACAGAAGCAACTCCTACTTGAACAAGATAAACGTAATACAAGTTGATAACATAATATTCTCAGATGGGTTGCCCAAATTGCTGAAAACAAATACAATAGATCAAGCAAAATGATACTTAGCAGTAGGCTGCAATGGCACAAACACTAATGCAAACCCATAGAACACTTAAACTTAAAGAAGAGAAAACAATGTTGTGTTTTGCTGCTTATTTAGCCAACAAGAAAAAAAAAAAAGAAGCCAATGCACCTGTTTTATTTCACAGGTCCCTAGATGCCTAGAAGGAATGAACAAAATAATTCAAGCGAATGGCATGAGACAGCATCTTTTAGAAGAGAGTTCCAGTTGTTGATAGTTAAGGGAAAGAATTAATATTTAAAACAGTCCTTTAAGCAAGGGGGGCTGATCAAGGGTGTGACTGTTTGTTGCGAGTAATTCTAGATACATCAGGAGTTGGGTAAGTGGCTTTATCTATGTACTGTCATTGAGATTCGAGAATCATGTAAAAGAATTTGAATCTTTTCTCTTTACGCCGTATCTTGAGTAGCGGAAGATTAGCTTTCGAGTTCAGTGCCATTGGAGAGTCCATTCAACAACATTGGAAAAAATAAAATGCAAAGCGTGCCGCTGCACTTCATCCAATTTATGCATATCTTGAATGGTGTGAGGATCCCGGATTTCTCACACATATTGCATCAATGGACGAATGAGTGTTTTATATGCCACAAGTTTTGTATTAGCCAAACTTGGCTTCAAGGACTGCCTTAAAGGAGCTGTGCAACGATTTTAACGTTGAAAGAGTTGGCATCTTCTGCTTTTGATATTGTTCACCTTGTCACAAATGACAGAAAACACACCTCCTTTCATCGAAATGTTCCGATTCCGCCGCGTAATAGCGAGGCAAAACTTAGAATATTCCCCAACCTGCAGCCGCGAGCGGCGGCCATGTGAAACATGCGGCGTGACGTCACTGGGGAATCTTGTAGAAAGATAGCAAGTTGTGCGAATACCTGCTTGATAAAAGGTAACTTTCCTATGAATCTTGTCGTTCCAACATACAGTAAAACCTCGTTATAACAAAATGGGATATAACAAACAAATGGATATAACAAAGCAATCATAATTCCCCTTGCTTGAATAGTTGGAAGAAATGGACATTGGCTATAACAAACTAATGGTTATAACAAAGTAATTACGACCGCTCCTTCAACTTCTTTATAACGAGGTTTTACTGTATATATAAATGCGTCAAAAACCTGGTATCATCGACAAAACTTTTATTATACGGAGTTTTAGTGGCACCATCTATCCTAGGTCCACAAAACTATCAGCTCCATCTGCAACCGTGAACAGCCGCCAGAAGCTGGAGGGGGAGGGGGAGAGAGCCTAAGCTCCTTGAGGGAGCTGGACGGGTATGGCCGGACCCAGATGAGACTTTCCTCCTTTCACCACATTGTTCGCGCTGTGCCCGCCAGCACGTCGTCATGTGGTCGCGAGCGGAGGAGTTCTCGCTGCTCACTGATGGCTCTAAAGAGAGAACTTTTCCGGAACCCCGCGCCTACCCCCTCAACGTCACTGCACACGTGACCTGGAAGACGACGTACGAGTTGAGAGGCGGCAAAAATCTGGATCTTTTTCATTTTTTTAAATAAAAACTAGGGTATCCAGGCAAAATCTGTTTTTTGTAGTTCACTTCAGAAGTGTCAGGCATCAACTTCCACAATAATTTAAACAAAGCCCTGTCAGTGTCCCTTTTAAGTACTGTAATTTGGAATGCACTCTTTTTACAGCACTATTTGTACAAGTTTCCCAGCGTAGATCATGCGAGATGGTTATGCCCAAATATTTTTAACTGCTCGCCCTTGCTATAGGGTGTCCCTCGAGGCTGTATGTAAATGCAGTGGGCTTAGTTTCGTGCACGATAGTCGTATGGACGGTCTTCTCAAAATTTAACGACATTTGCCATTGACCAATGTGGGTTAAACATGTATTTAGGTTCAGTTGACCGGTGGCCGTCTTAATTTCTGTATACAAAATGCAGTCGTCGGCGAACAGTTTGCCTTAACAGCTAAATTAAAGGGAATATTGTTGATAATCAGTAAGAAAAACAGTGGTCTGAGGACCATACCTTGGGGTATGCCTGATTTGATGTTGCTCATATCTGAGTGCTTACCCTTGATTTCTATGAATTACCTTCCTTCATGCAGGAACACCTGATTAGCCTGTAATTTTTTAGTATAGATTTTAATTTAACGAGTAATTTACTGAGGTTAACCTTATCAAACACTTTCTTGAGGTCTAAAAAAATAATGTTTACCTGGCTCTTATGGTTGAGAACTTCAGAAAAATCATAGACTACTTCCACCAGCTGGGCGATGGTGGACAACCCTTTACGAAAGCTGTGCTGAGAGCTCTTCAGTGGGTTGTAATTTTCCCCAAAAGGATGCATAAATGAGATTGACCTGTAATCATTAACGGGAGAGGCTTGTAGTTTTAATGGAAGACATCACTCTTCCACAGCTTTGCAAATATTGGAAGCATAGGTCTCTTGCTCCCAGTGTTAACTTTTCCTAAACAGCAAGACAATTTTTTTTTTTTTTTTTTTACGTTGATGTTTTGTTTGTTTAGCGAAGGGCATCTGGCATATTCCAGTGAAGGACTAAGAATTACAGCAATGTGGTTAATTGGGCTAGTTGTTTCATAGTTTAAAAATTATAAAATCTCCGAAAACAATAAGTGCCTTGTGTTGTTTTACTTTATCTTGGTCGTTGTTGTTTTTTGGTGCTTTTATACTTTTTAAACTGAAGATTAATTCAGACCACCCGAGGATCTGTTGGCGGTCAACCAAAATCTCATTGACACGAAACTTGCTCTGCAATAAGCCTGTGTCGAGCACTTCGGTCGGGATTAAGATCCACCAACTGGGGATTTGTAGACTGTCACTTTTCCTCCAAACCACTCAGTAGAAGGCCAGGAGTAGGTAATCTCAAATTACTTCCCAAATTCGCTTTCAGGCATAAAAGTATTGGCAAGTATTTTACGTCTCAAACTTCAGAATAAATGGAAAACATATGTTGCTTACTGTTTCAATTGATTAAAGAAACACATTTGAAGCTTTAGATGGCACAAATAAAGAAGAAAAAAAAAACTAAAAGAAAAGAAGCAAAATCTTAGATGTGGGTGGCAGAAATAAATGTTTAACATAATTGCTCCTTCTATTGTGGATAATGCTAGGAGCAGTGCAGTGATGTGATTGCTGTGCCATTTGCGCCAAACTGTGCCAAAGTGCTTACCCTGCTACATTTAACCAAAATGTGAAGAATTTGTGCCAGCATTGAGCCAGAACTTAAGTTCACTTAAATAATACTGAAAATGTAACTACTGCAGGCCTCGCTACCGGGCCGGATCGTTAGAATAGGCTCGTGCGAGTTGTCAGGACTTCCGATAATCGCCTTAAATAACATACTATTCAATTTGTTGCCAAGCACTGACAGTACTCATAAGTTTTGCAACAAGTCTCGTGGTCTGTTCTGGTGGGTTGGTTAGCTTTGTCGAGTGCGCTTCTCACTGCATACTGGTGTACTGCAGTGAAGCGACAGTGCCGTCTCTCGTCCATATTTGCAGTGATATAATGAATATGAAGTGTGCTGTTATGCTCCAAAAGCTCTTTTTCCTTTTCCACAATGAACTTTTGGCTGCTCCAATAGCTGCTCCAAAATGACTACGACCAATCACATCACTGGCAGTGCTATTAGTACTTCAAAACTTTGAATTGCTCTCAGGAAGAATTTTTATTTTTTAAATAGTCAGTCGAATAATGTGTTAATCCTATTATATGTTGTAAGGTGCATGCAATATTCTTAAAACTATCATTTGACAAGCAGCTCCACAGAAGAGCGTCGTTCGAAAATGGTTAATCTCTGTTGCCTGCACGCGAGCAGGTACATGCAGACAGCGTTCCTAGCGACCCCAGCGACCAAGCCTGCACAGGCAATGGAGAAGGACTGTTTTCGAACGACACTTTGTTTTTGGAAGCTTTTGCACAAACTTTATGTTTACTATAAAAACCACAACAAAATTTCTTTCCAACGCAGGCAATGTGCATCCAATGTTCCACCAGTTCCGTCGCAATATCTGTCCATAGGGCGGGCTGATAGTGTAGTGAGTGCCACCGAGTGGACGTGCAACGAAATGGCGCCAGGCATTTCGGAAGCTTGTCAACTGATTTTCATTTAGTAACGTTGGGTGCATTTGTGCAGTCAGTGCTAACAAACCTGAAAGGCCAGGTATTAACTTTCTTTGCAGAATGAAGGCATTGAAAACCATACTGTTAGAATTGTGACTGGGACAAAAAGCACTGTAGCATGGCCACGTCTCAAAGATTAAATCGAGCCCAGTGCAACAGGCTTGTTTGCATCTGAAAACTTGTCAGTAAGGATTTTTCAAACACCTGGTTCTTGGTAGCTAGTTTTGAGGCTACATAGGTTATTGTCATCACCCCAATTTTTTCGCAGGGCGTTCTGGAGATCAATTTGCTCATGTTACACTTGCCTCTCGTATCAATCATTCTAACTGCATCATCACTTTTTTTTTTTTTACATCCATTTTGCATTCACAGTCTTTCTGTCCATATCTTACAATTCTACCCATAGCTCTATAGTCCACTCATAGATCTGACAGTCACTAATCTGAGATTCACATTTTATGACTACTTGCATTGGAAGCTAAGATGGTGACATTAATTGCAGATAACTGTATCTGGGGGGGGATCCCACTGTGCAATTGGTGCATTTTTATTTACATTTTGTGTCTTTGGATTAGAGATATGGTATTGCATTTGGTAGCCATCCACTCATACAACAGATGTGCTCCCAACACTTGTTTGAGTATAAAAATATTGTTGCACAGCATATGTTATGTTATGTCTCTAAGATTGGTTCTTTGAGGTTAGCGCCTTCCCGACAAAGCAGTGTTACCAGAGACTGCAATGTGACCTTTTTTTACTGTGCTCTCTTTGCACCTTTTTTCATTAAAATACTTTATCGTTTTAATCAGACCAGATGTTTTGGGGGGGATTTGTTTTTGCCAGAACTTTTCCAAGTCCAAACCTGCAGGCAGGATTTCTAAAGGAGGCTCACCTAGTGATCAGGCACCAGTGCCTGAAGTAGCACTAGTGGTTCAGATCTTCCGGCCCATCAAGCTACCGAACAAGCTACGCAGAGTCACCATCAGCACCTTCATAAAAAACAAGGTAAGTCCTGAAATCTGTTGTCACTGCTTTCACAAACCTCCAGGGCTATAGTGAGTTATCGAACATGCACCTGTTCCATAATAAGTGCCCACCCCTGTGTGAAAACTAAGCAAAGGACATATCAAGTGGTCACCCCAGACTTTGTCGAGCCAACCTAGCCTAACCGAGATACTCCCCTACAACAGTCTCTTCTTTGAGCACGCCGGTGCGAAGTGGTGAAGCTTGACGTGTGTGTGCTGGTGCAGAACAGTGAAGCCCACCCTACCATGGGCCCCTTCTGCATTTTTGCTCTCTGTCTTAACAGCTTTCATTTAGTTTTCATGGCTATCTACAAAGTTTGGGTGGGCTTTTGCTCGGGGTTTTATAGTAATTGAAAATCAAGATGAGTGCCCTGCACTCGTTATACTGGGTGTTTCCAGAAACGTGGGCAAAATCGCTTCTGCAAAAACTGCATCACACAGAAAAAAAAGGTTGATTCCGTAGTGGTGTGCGTCAAAGGGCCCATTAAGGAAAATTATTAGCGTTCAATGTAATTAAGTAATGAATTAATCTTGAGTAATTGAATTGTTAATTATTGATTTTTAAGACATGGTTTCAATTAGAATCTTGCTGGGCATCATCAAAAACTACTTAGTACACCCATGTTACAATAATATAAGGCACGCCCAGCATTTTACGATGTCCCGACAAAATGCTCAATTTGGACGCGTTTCTGGGTTTCAGTTTCTTATTGGAGCGCACCTCCGTACGGCAATCCCACCCCCTGTGTCTAATACTCGTAACGTGCGTGCGCTGCCAGGCATCGCACATAGAAGAGGCTAAATAAGAAAGCCTCCGGACTGTCACATGAGGTTTGCCTTTCTGATGTTTGTGCCAGTGTGAAGACACAGTTCTGTGTGCGATACGTGGTGGTGCACGCACACATTGTGCGTTTTAGACATGGGGTGGGATTGGCTGTGCGGAGATGTGCTCCGACAAGAAACCGAAACCCAAAAACGTGTCCAAACTCAGTATTTTTTGGGAACGCTGTAAAATGCTGGTAGTGTCTTATATTTTATTTATTTATATATTAATACTGCAATTTCTTAATGGAATTTTCGCAGTTGGGTACAATAATAAAAAATACAACATTATGGCAAAAAGAAAAAAAAAGATGGAAACAAGTTATAGTACACTTGAACAAAAATATAGAAACAAGTTTAGTACACATGAACAAATACAGTACCAAAGGAGCTAACTTAAATTAGATGTGAATAATGACAATGATGGCTGAATAACAACTCTCAGCGAGGTCATTCCACTCAGTTATTCTTCATGGAAGAAAGGAATACTTGAAGCAATTATTACGCAATTGAAAAGGAGTTATTCTTAGATCATGCCTTTGTCGAGTAGCATATCCTGATGAAAAAGTGATTAATTTGGACAGTTTTACCTTATAATGGCCATTAATTAACTGATATAAAAGTTGTAGTCGGGAATGCTGATTTCTTTCAGATATAGACAGTAATTTAGCCCTGGTTAAAAGTTTGGTTATGGAAGTACGCCCAAAGTATTATAAATAAAGCGAGTGTTTTTTTTTTTGTACTCGATCAAGTTTACTAATGTTAATCTTAGTGAAAGGATCCCAAATGATTGCAGCATAATCTAATGTTGGCACGACTATAGTTTTATATGTGAGAAGACGTAAGGAAGGGGAGAAAGTTTTGACGCTCTTCTAAGAAAGAATAACTTCCGCAGAGCATTAGATGTTATGTAATCGATTTACTTTGTCCATGTAAGATTATGAGTAATCCACAGTCCAAGGTATTTATATTGTGTGACTTCTGATAGGGGGATATTATTAACATTGTAAACAAACCTTAAAGGGTATATTTTGTTAGTAATTCTCATAAAAGTCATTTTATCAAAGTTAATGGTCATTTGCCAATCCGTGCATCATGTCGCGATATTTTGAAATGCTTTGTTTAATAATAGTTGATCCGAAACACTATCTACTTTGAGTATATGTTCAGTGTTCCGACCGAGAAAGTTGGTCGGAACAATGTTCACCAAAAACTATGTACTGTCGACGGCTTGACAGATATGCTGGGTTCTATTTTACTAACTGTGTGTTCTTAAATATTTTGTCTAGTTTGTATATCAATTTCTTATGAGAAACCTTATCGAATACCTTTGAGAAATTCATAAAAATAGCATCAATTTGTTTACTGTGGTTAATTGCCAAGGAAAAATCGCAAATAGTTTAAATTAAATGAATACATGTCGACAAACCTTTTTTGAAGCCATGCTGATGCTTAGTCAAACTGTAATGCTCATCCAAGAATGCTGATAAATGAGTATTATTATATGATCAAGAAGTTTACATGCAGTTGAAGTCAATGAAGTTGGACGGTAGTTTCTTATGCGTTGTTTGTTCCCGTTCTTATAAACTGGTTTGACTTTGGCAGTTCTCCAGTCGTCTGGAACCTTACCCTCATACAATGATTTTGAAAACAAAACAGATATTTTGAACCCCATTCAGCGTACCTTAAAAAATGCATTGGGAATATTGTCGGGCCCAAAAGACTTTTTAACATCAAGTTTCAGTGGCATATTCAACATACCGTGTTCAGTAATTACAATATGAGGCATCATTGTCTTGAGTAAAAACCAATTTAAGGTGTTTATTAAATGCTTCTGAGGTGATATCTTTGTGGGTTAGATTACCATCAACCTCAAAAACATCACATGGCATAGAATGTGGAGATATTGTATGCCAAAACTTTTCTGGTGAAGTAGATATGAAGTTTGGCAGACTCGCCGAAATAACCACTTTTATCAATGTTAACCTGGGTTTAAGTTCTAAAAAAAGAGTCGTGAATTTTTTGTTTAGATCTAAGGACTCGTCTCTTCTTTTCATTTTCTTTTTTAATCGCTTCGGGTGTCTTTTTGGCTGTAGTGACTTCCTAGAAATCCAAGGGTTTGTGTTCTTTTGTTTTTTAACAATTGGTGGCACAAAGCGTTCAATACATTCGTTTACAATACTTTTAAACAAGTTCCAAAGGTTGTTCACATCCCCTGTACAGTTTATGAAGTCGTCAAAATTAAATGAAAGCATATCGGCAATCGAGACATCATCTGCACGAAAAAAGTTAGGATAACAGTTCACCTTGTTTTTTTTTCTATTTACAGAAACATCATCTAGAGTCACCAGCACTGTGTTGTGATCAGAAATTCTAGGGACTACTTCACATTTAGCTTTGGTAGAAATCATTCCACTTACGAAACCAAGATCAAGTACAGTGCTGTTAGTGTTAGAAAACAGTAAAAAATTGATAATCTGATTAAAAATTTGTAAGGTCACGTGGCATATTAACTTTAAAACAACAATAAAATTTAACCTCTATTTTTATATCCTATATTTACTGATGAGAAAGCATAATACACACATAAAAACAAATGATGTCCTTATATTATTAGTCACGTGACCTTTTGCGTGGATGGAGCCTTATCTCTTCCAGACTTGGCTACGTCCGCGCGCGTGGATGTAGCCTTGGCCAATAATTTTCCTTAATGAGCCGTTTGACAGAGACCATTATGCCATCAACCTTCTTTCTGTGTGGTGTGTAGTTTTCGCAGGAGCGTTTTGCCTACATTTTCATACAAACCCTGCATAGCAATAGTAACCGTGATTTCTACAAGTTTAATTGCAATAGGCCCGTAGCTCTCAAGTTTTGAGCAGCACTCCATGCGAGCAAAATAGAATATTTGCCTCGCGTTTCGAACATACATCAATACGCTTCCCCACTACAGTTCTTTATGCTCCGTTCCATTCTAAGTGCCAGTGTAGCAGAGGCTACAGGAGCGAGCTGCTAGCATTCAGCGTCCCTGCCAAGCACGCGCGCTTGTGCAGTGCGAGCATCGTTCAGGAGTATGTGCGTTTGCAAGTAGCTTTGGCTTCGCTATCATGTAAAGTGAAATATACGTGCTCGCGGAAGCCATGAAAGAGTGCAAAGATGAAAGGAAAGTTAATGAGACGCTGCGGCCGCGAGCTGCATAATTTTTTAATTATTTGTTTAGTTTTTTTAGACATTTTGTTACCGCGCATCTACAGATGCTGACAGATGCTTGTATTCGAACGTGGCACGTGCAAAATCAAACGTTACAAAGCCACCTGGATGGTGCAGCCAGCATAACATGGTTGCGTCTTGGGTAAGTATTCCGGACGTGCTCGCGCCCCCTGCTCCAGAGCAACGGGTCTATGTGTTGTGCACAGCTGTGGTTTCTGAAACTAGAGTGAACATAAGTCAAATTAACTTTGTCGAGGAAGACTAAACCACTACTAGATGAATTGAGCATGCTTCAAGGTGGAGTTAATTTTACTGTTCTTTTTTCAGATCCAGGGAGAGGTGGTTGTGCTCGGTTCCCAGTCCCTGACCACTTTACGCAACACAATAAGTTGTGTTGCGGACATCAATGCGCCAGGGGACTACAGTGAAGATCCGGACAAGCCTCAGTGTCCCAAAGCCATTGTAAGAGCCTTTCTTTCATTTTTGGCCACATTGATGAACAAACCACTGAATTGAAATATGAAACACTTAATCATAAATTTAATCTACAGGTCACTGTTGTTTTTACAGAAACATAGAGTGTCATTGAGGGCAGCGCAAGCACTTAACAGGAATATTATTGCACACACTGGAAGCTATTCACCCCTGCATATGCTGCTTGCTGCGAGCAAATGAATGAGCGTGGGCTGTTTTGTTTGTGCGTGAACTCCTGTCAACATCATTGTGTTGTTGCAGGATCTGTACAAGTCCGGCTTTTTCTTCATTGGCAACACTTTCTACAATGACATGACAGATCCATCCTGCAGGGATTACAGCCAGTAAGTGTAGCTGCCACAGTGTGACTTTATATTTTGGATGTCACTAATTCTAGGACCCCATTCATGTTTATGTCATTGCTATCTACCACTGTCTTGTCATTTGCCCTCTCCATGTTCAGCTGGCCAAAGGAGTAGTACCTTTGGTGTTTGCATTTTCCACTGATCCATGCAATAATTGTTACCACCCTTGTAATTTCAAAAGAGATTGTAAAATTGCATAGAACTTGCATATTTTGAAAGCATGGCAAGAGGCCTACAAGTTTCGTGCTCGGAACTTTTGAAATGCAGTTTCGAGAGAACTGCTAATGGGGTGTACAAAGTGCACGAGGTATATAAAAACTTAACAATAATTTTAGGGAAAAAAAAAAAAAAAAATTTGTTTTAGCGAAATATTAATTCATTTGTTTGGAATTTGTTACAGATACTGTTTTCTATTCGTGTTCTCGAACTTCATTCAATAAAACCACTTTCAGTGGCATTGACTGACTCGATGAGGCTTTGAAAACGGCTGGAAGCCCTGTTTAAATGGTCCTCGTTGATGTTGGCCATAGCGAAAATTTGTTTCAACAAAATATTAATTTATTTGTTTGGAATTTGTTACAGATAATGTTTTCTGTTTGTGTTCTCGAACTTCATTAAATAAAACCGCTTTCAACGGCATTGACTGACTCGATGAGGCTTTGAAAACGGCTGCAAGCCCTGATTAAATGGAGAGTTAGAAGGCCACTTGTTGTGGGTGACATGGTCACAGAGGTTGTCAGTCGGCCAATTTTGGGTTGTGTGGGCCATGTGGCATGGAGCAGAGTCCTGTTAAAAAATGAATGGCCTCCCCTGGGCCACCCTTCTATCCAAGATGCCAGTGTCTCGATGTAGGCCTTCAAGTTGGCCTTAAAGCCTTGTTGAAAAAAGTGTGGCGGCATGACATGACCTTCATTGTTCACGACAGCTAGGATCATCACAGATGACGGAAACTTTATCCGCATGACCGTAGGGACCTTCTTGGGGCTCGTACAGAGCCACTCGTTATTCCTCCTGTTGACCTTTTGGTCTTGGTCAAAGTTCTTGTCGGAAAAAAAACAAAGCATGCCCAGTTTCTCAGAGTGCTTGAGCTTGTTCAACAAGCACTTGGACCGGATGACGCGGCTTTTCTAGGTTTTTTGTTCCGAACATTGCCGAAGACTTTGTCATTGTCGGGTCTCTCTTGAAACGTAAATATCCGCGACAATTTATCAATAACTCACGTAAACAGGTGCACCGGGACAGCCCTAACTAGAAAAAAGACTTTCAAAGCTGGTGTTGTAACAATTCCGTACGTAAAGGGGGTATCCGAGTCGATACGCTGTGCCCTCCTGCCTTTAGATGTCAGGACAACCTTCAAGCCGCATGTAAGGCAACGCAACCTCCTTTCCAAACCGAAGGACGAAACACCTCCCGAATCCCAGAACAAGTGACGAGTGTACAAGTTGAGTTGTCGGAAATGTGACGCATTGTACATCGGGGAAACCGGCCGCAAGCGAAGCACCCGCTTCAAAGAACATAAAAGAGACGTGGAAAGGGCGACGCATGCCACAAGGTCAAAAACAAGTGATGGACCGAACCTGCCGAACTTCAGATTCGGCAAAATTCAGCACATGCCAAACTTTTGAAGAAAAGTTTCGCAAAGATTAGGCCAAAATTTGGCAAGCGCCTGCGAACGCGACGGGCCTGCGGGGGTGTGGATTGGAAATGGACGCCATGCGGTTACCATCGTACAGTGTAGTACTATACCAGCGGTTAAGTCAAGGTGCGGAGTATATGGTAATTTTGTATTTGTCAGCCTTTGTGAGTCTGGTTTTCTTCCATAATGTCTGCCCCAAGAACAGAAGATTGACCAGGAATTGACTCAGTGTTCTCCACAAATGACAAATGAAGCGGTACATTCTGGGTAACATGATTTTAATTTGATATTTTCAGTGATGCACGAGGTAGTTGCAACATTGACTGACAAGTACTTTAAAGCACTCCTCGCCATTATAGCAATCCTGTTCTCGGCAAGTAGTTTGTACCAAAACAAAATATTATAGCTTTTTAATTGGCATTATTTCACGGTTTTTATCTGTCCGCATAAAACTGAACACAAACTATCGTGCTCGGCGTCGCATATCCCAGATTCTTAACTCCTAAACGTCTGCCTAAACTCCTAAAATTCAGAAACCGGAATTTTAAATGTTAAAAAAGAGACATTGCAAATATGAGACGCGCACTTGCATGCAAAGCTGAAATAACTGAAATTAAAAAAAACAAACAAAAAACCTGCATATTTACAATAACATTGTTTTTTTTTCTGGTGAATGCTCAGCAGCCATTGCATTCATTTTCGTGCAAGAGACTGTGACTCGCAGAGAAAGTAAGATCATAGTGTTACCGCTTTTACTTCAACAATGTACGTACACACTTGCAGGCTTGCGCTGATGAGGCCTCAAAACCGAAACTCGCGTATCGTGACTGTGCCAGCTACCACCCAACCTTGTTGTCACACCACTTCTGCAAAAAGTCACTGTAAAATTGCCAGTAAACACACAAAAATGACACCGACACAATTATCTTGTAGAATATCACCTTATTTAGTAATAACTGTGTCAAAATGCATTTAAAAAAAATAAAACCTTGCTGCTTGGAAAAACGAAACATCAACTTTTAGGTCTGGCGACTATGTATTTTTGCCGAATCTTTGCCGAATCGTTGGAAAAGTTTGGCAAAAATTTGGCTTTGCCAAATCCTAAAATTCGGCAAAAGTGCAGCCCATCACTATCAAAAACCGAACTGGTCGACCATTGTTGAACCACGGGACACAGCTTTTTGACAACGCAGAGATCTTAGGACGGGAGCAAAGGTGGGGTCCCCGGAAATTCTTGGAATCGTGGTGCCTCCGAGACGACTACTCAGCTTGCAATGTTAACCGCGGCCCACTTCCTGACGTGTACGCGGATTTACTGAAATAATGTTTGGTTGCTGGGCTCTCACTCGTGTCCCTGTTGGCACTCACTGACGATGTCTCCTGCATGGGACATGAAACGTTTGATTTTAAACTGTTGATTTTGTTAAGTCATGTCGGTGTTATTTGTTTTATCATGTCCAGTCCTGGCTTTTGGAACATTTTTGCAAATACCTCGTGCATACCCTGTATAATAAATACCCTGTATGATCTTAGTAACTGCTATTTCTTTTACTAGTTCATTTCAGTTCAGAATATATTTACTGATGAGGATACAACTGGCAATATGCTCTACGGTAGGGCCAGAGGGGGCAGTTTGGGTTATCGGAGGTAGTGGAGTGTGGTATAGGTGCTATTACACTTCTCTTCCTAAGCCGGTCCCAAGGTTCCCAGGATAAGCTGGCGTTGTTCTGCTGTTCCTACGGGGTTTATCCATTAATGTAGTCTTTCAGGCTCGTCTTCCGGTTTGAGGGCACCCTTAGCGGCATTCTTTTCATTTTCATGCTGCTTACAGTTCCAAAGCTAGTGCTGAGTGTCTGCCGGGGTATATTCTAGGCAGTACTTACACTTGTCTGGTTCTGGGTGGTAGTCGGGATGCTTTCTTCTCTTAGGAGTGTCGTGCCATTTCTTAGTTACAGAAGGTGTTACTGCTGCATCCGCCTGAAGTCCTCGAAGTAGAACAGTTTCGAGTCTTCTCAAGCCCTTGGGGAGACTTTCTCGTGCAATTTCTTTATGCCTGTCGATTTCCTTTCTGAGTACAGTCTTGGCCGCCATTGTCTCCCACACGGGGTCATAAAAGCCGCCTAGTTTACTTTCACAACTCTCCAGGGTGCCCTGTTCTTCTAAGGACTTTGTAGGATTGAGTGTGGATGTGGAGGTTTCTGAACTGCAATTTAAGCGAGGGAGGAAAGAACGATGGAACTCTCCCGCTGCCTCGTTGGCAAGGTTATTGCCTTCAATTCCCTTGTGCCCTGGGATTCAGTGCACAGAGGTTTGAACATTCCGCATCCTCAGCTCGATAGCCATAGTCATGATGTCGTGAACTGTTTTACATGTTTCCTGATGTGTTTTCAAGGAACGAATGGCGTCTTGGAGGTCAGTGTATATCACAATGTGTGTGTCACATTGTGCGTCTTTGCTTGCTTCCTTTAGAGCCTCTGCTAGTGCCGTAATTTCGGCTTCTTGCGCTGTTCTGCAGTGTTTAGCGTTTTTCGTGGGTGTCACCTTGGTGTTGGTAATGTGCCACGCCAGTGCCGTTCTTCCTTGTTCGGAATACGCTGCATCCTTGTAACAGATTATTGTCTTTTTAGTTGGGTTTTCCAGGAGTGCCTGCACTTCTTCCATGTGCCTCTTGGCTTTATATTGTCATCGTTCTTGGTTGCCTCGACCCATTTTTCGGGGTGGTGGAGCTGATTGTGCCACTACTATTCTTTCCCATGGGGGTAGCTGTTCAGGAATAGGGTTGCTTTCCGCTATGTCTAGATTCCAGTCGAGTATTTTAGAAATTTCTGTGCCCTGCTTTGTGTGCTGAAGCTTGATGCAGTGTGCTTGCTCTTGGTTGTTGGTCAGTTCATTAAATGTGGGAAATGGTACATATTTGTGCAATTCTTGCAGGTTGGTGATTTTCGGAAGTCCAGAGATTGGGGCTTCTTCTTGTGTTGTTGAGCAACGTTTCTAGATGTTCCTAGTGGTGTTGGTTGAGCCTATAGAAGCGGCATCCATACTTGACTTTTGGGATAAATACTGCTGGGACTATCAATCAGGCTATTCTCTCGCCTGCTCCTCCATGCCTATCAGCTATTCTTCTAACTATTGAAGTACCGATTTCCACGTCTTCGCCAATCGCTTGATCCATGTGTCTGGATTGAGCTTCGTGTTGACATGTATCCCGAGTATAGTGTGCTCGTCTGTCTTTGCTAAGGAGTGCCCGTCAAATGTCAGGGTGGGGTTGATTGCGTCCCTGTCTTTTCCGAATACCCGAATACTATGAGTTTAGTCTTTTCGGCGGAGGGTTTCATGCCGGCCACTGCCAGAAAGTTCTCGATGGTTGCAAGTGCTTCTTGAAGGGTGGTCGTTTGTTGTTCTGCGTACCCATGTGTCGTCCAAAGTGAGACATCATGTGCAAATATCTCAAATTGTAGGTGTTTGATGTTTTCCAATTTTCATGCCACTGGTGCCATCGCAAGGTTAAATAGTGCGGGGGATAACACAGACCCTTGTGGTACTCCTGTGGCGCTTTCTTTCGTGCTACTCTGGTCTTTGCCAAACTTGACTGCATATTTCCAGTTTTGTAGGAAAGTTTTAATGAAGTTGAGTGGTCATTCATTTATCCAGTGTTGTGGTAATGGCATAGTGTGGTAGCAGATCAAATGCTTTCTGAATGTCAATAGCCACCAGCATCCTTGTGCCAGGAAATTGGGGCAAGTATCTAAGAATCGCTTCTCTCAGCAGCAGTAGGCTGTTGTGCGTCCCTAAGTTCTTCCTGAAGCCTGTTGGGGTTGGGTGGTAAGTTTCGTTCTGTTCTGTTATTCAGTCAATCCTGGCCGGCGTCATTCTTGCCACTAGCTTGCATAGGGCCGATGTTAGCAATATCGGTCTGTTTGGTATTTTGAAGAGCACTTGGGGAGAGTTCTGGGGCAACTTTTGCTAGGGACTTCCTTCTTACAGGGTGATTCGTGAATGGGCCAAGAACCCGAGACGTAACGTGGGTCCATTCGAGGTAAAGCGGATGGAGGACACATGCTTTAATGACCTGGAAATTCAATTGGGCTACCCGTACGTCTACGTGCACCAAGGATACTGCGAGCATCTGATCGTCTTCAGCGACATGAGGTAGGATCACTCGGCGATGCACCATACTAGAGCGAAGACTTTAAGCTGGGTCTCCTCTTGGGTTTTACTGTGTTCCATCTGCCCGCTAGAATGCATATCTCTTGCTCTCAGATTTCGACATGAAAAACAATATCTGGCTTATCAGTTACCTAGATGTGGTGTCAGCGGAATATACCTGAAAGGCCCTCCTGTCATGTAACAAAGGCCACCTTTTATGAATCAAATGTAGCTTATCTTTGTATTTTAAGGCATTGGAATAGCCATGCTACTTTAGTATCCCTGCTGTTTCATTTGTGATTCTATCCGCTTTCAGTGAATCAGGTTTGTGCAGACTACAGCCACAAGAAAGTCTTCTGCTCTGATACAGGATTTGTTTGTCCTTTATCAGAGCAGCATTTGTATTTCTAAATAAAATGAGCCACTATAGTCGGTGACAGGTCAAGAACGAAGTGGAAGCTCCTCCCACCTCTTTCCACTTAAGCAGTGCAAATGCTGGAGAGGAGGCGTCCTCCTCTCCACCGTTCGCTCTGCTGAAGTGGAAAGGGTTGGGAGGAGCTTCCACTTCGTTCTTGACCTGTCACCGACTATAGTCTTCCTTCTATTTTAAAATGAATCCCTGTAAAGTGATGACCGACTCTTATGGCCAGATTGGTAATTCTTACCTATATTGTTATAAATGAATTTCTCTGTACTTCGGTCAAGTAAAGTCAAATTTCCCTTTGTGTATGTTGGAAATCTGTCATTTGAAAACGTTTTTATACGAATTCCTTTAGGTCCAGAATGCGTTCCTAAGCTTTATGCTAGGCCACATTGGGAAACTTGTCGGTCGGGCATTGTGCTGAAGTACTGAGGAGGTCCTTGGCGTACTTCTTTTTTCCCTGACAGAATGCTGCATTCAGACGATAGCCAGCAGATGTCTGACTATCCAATGATCCTCCAGAACCATGCCCACTCCAAGAGGTTACTCTGCTGGCTCTGCCATAAGGCCCCTGCCAAGTAAGTCACTCAGGGTTACTCAGTGGTCTTCCTAAATTAGGCATTGGGAAACTGTGGGCTGCACTAAGCCGTCTTTACCAAGCCTTTCGCTAATTATGATCTTTAGCAGGTTTCCCTATTTTCTGAAATAATTGATAATAAATTTCCACATCTACTACAGTCGACTTTCGTTAACTCGACCTTGGTTAAATCGACTTATCGTTTAATTCGAGCCTGTTCAAAGGCCCTTGAAAAAGCCGATACATTTCTATAGAAGAAAAACAACTCATTATTTCGATTTTAAAATATCAAAATATTGGTTAATTTGACCTAGAGAGAACTGGTAGTGTGCAATATACAAGCACGACTGGCTGTGCATGACGCACAAAAACAGGCCTTTTTTAAAGCGATAGCTTTAAGGAGCTCGTGTCGCAAAAAAACCGGCGTCAGTGTCGTGAGATGGGAAAATCCCGATTGGTCAATGGGGTCATGACATCACCAGCTACATGACCTCGCGCGGGAATTTCAAACAACCCACAACGCTCGCGTGAAACGTGACATCACGCGTGGAATGAAAGTGATTAAAGAACATGACATGTACGGTAATGCGAATTAAAGGTCGCCGCAAGTCTCAAATGATTTCACTTTATAAAGTTATATAAAAGGTCGTCGAAACTCTGTTCGTGTTGAAGACTGCTACTCCAAGGAGTTTGTTTCTAAATCCGGGGTGCCCCAGGGGTCCAACCTGGGACCGCTTTTGTTTATTTTGTTTATAAATGATATTGTTTGATGTGTTGGTGATGCAAAAATTTTTCTCTTTGCTGATGATGTTAAACTATTTTTAAGTGTGAGGTCAGTATCGGATTGCACTCGTCTTCAAGCTGACATAGGACATGTTTCAAATTGGTGCTTCAAAAACCACTTGTCGTTTAATCCCGAGAAAACTAAACATATTGTACTATCTAGAAAGCGTGAATTCATTTCTTTTTCTTACAACCTTGAAGGCGCCTTGATACCCCGGGTATCTTTTGTAAGGGATCTTGGTATCCGTATTGACAGTTCACTTTTTTTCAAAGAACATGTGTCTATAACTGTTAATGCTACGTTAAGAGTGTTAGGCATTATTTCTCGGTTATGTCGGCGGTTCTCATCACCCTCTTGTTTGTTGCATTTGTTTAAGTCACTAGTTAGATCACGGTTAGAATTTGGCTCGGTAATCTGGAATTCATCATCTCTTGGTCAGGCAACAGAAATTGAAAATGTACAAAAGTGGCTGATAAAAATTGTGTATGACCGCTATATTGGAAAGAGGTCTTCTTATCATTATGAAACGCTACTTGACCGGTTTGCATTATATAAACCTGCCATGAGGAGGCAGTCCAGAGATTTTGTTTTTCTTCATAAAGTTGTTCATGGCCACGTCAGGTCAATGGATTTACTACGATCCATTGACTTCCATGTTCCATCAAGAGCCAGCCGGAATGTATTAACGTTTTATCCATCTTGCTTGTCCCCTATATCCCCTTTGTCACAAATTCAATTGGCCTTCAATAAGGAACATCACCTGGATATTTTCATGTGTCTCCGGGAATTCACCTTGCTTGTTCGTGAATGGATGTCTTTCGCTTAGAATGAGATTTTGTTTTTGTGGTATTAGTATTGAGTATTTTAGTTTTTACGGTATTCATATATTAGTATTTTGTGCACCACAGTGGAGACTGAAAAGTTGTTTGTGGGCACAGAAAATAAAGAATTATTATTATTATTATTGTTATAGAGTAATTAATTTACCTTAAAGAAAAAGTTCCAAGAATTTTAGGCAGACCCAGTATTCAAACCCACACCCTTTTGGTTGCGAGCCAGGCACTATACCGACTAGGCTATGCAGACAAGCTTGGACGGCTTAGGAACTAGGGGAGATTCATATGTTTAGCTGTCGCGTTCCACTCTTAAAGGCGAAGCTAAAAGGGACACTGACAGGGTATTTATGCTCGCCAAGGTTTTTATTTGTACATGACACATAAGAGCCCAGCTGCCCAGAACAGAATTTGTGGCTCGAAATTTGTTTTCTTTTCGCCCGAAAACCGCTGATCGAGAACTGGCCGGTTTGAGTGGTGCTCACGCTCTTCTCCATGGTCATGTGCAGTTTTCTATGGTTTAGACACAGCCACCAAATGTAATCAAAGTCGTGGGTCATTGAAGGAACACACTCAATATTAGCAAAAGAAAAAGTAATCTAATACCACTTTTAATGGCTTCTAAAAGCTGCAAATATGTTGATTGAAAAAAAAAAAAAAAAAGTTGCACAGCCACATGACTTCTGACAGCATTCTCCTCTATATTTCTTCTTCCTCCCCAGTCTAGTTTCGGTTTTGGTTTTGAGCAGTTGCATTTTTTTACTTTATTAACAATATACACGATGCTGTAGCAAAATATGATTGATATAGTCTTCTGACGCCATGTTAAATTGCCTGGCAAAAAATACAAAACATTTTTTGGGGTTTTTCATTCTCTTTTTAAGCGTCCTCCTGTAATTTTTGTTTTCCGAATTACGCGGCGGGCAAGTTACAAGCGCGATCAGCCACGCCCGTCGGTGAAAAAGCCCGTTTTCAAATTTTTAAGCTTGCGCCGAATCGCAAAGAGTGAGAAAAGGAGAGCGCATGTTGAGACACGGGACACGGTCTGGTCTCAACTCAAAACAACCATTGCAACAGTGCTGCAGAGCAGCAAGCTCTGACTGGCTGTTTGTGAAATAGGGCCGCTGATGACGTGAGCGCGCACAACGGTAACGTTTGCCTCGTAACTGCCGGAGCGGTGCAGTTAGTTCGCCGGCCACCGGTCACTGCTGCCACCTCTGTGTGGGCGGTGTGCGGCGGCTCATTTTAAAAATGTTAGTCCACCTGATCTAAAGCGCTGAACATTCAGAATTGCGCACGGATCTTTTAATTCGACTTTCGCATAATTCGAGCCATTTTCGCTTGTACCTTTATGATCGAATGAACATGAGTCGACTGTATAAGCTTTTTGTGTTATGCATAAACATAAACTCATTGTTCTTTTTACCTATTATAGTTTTCAAGAAAACCTCAACTTTTCCACATGTTTTTCTGCCCAACATTTTTACTCGAATCTCATAAAAAAAGATGGCACGAAATATGTTACCGTGTTCTGCAATTTAGGGGGTGCAACAAAGTCATTCTTATAATTTTACCGTCATTCTAAAGAAAGGTTTTACAAGTTGAAATTTTTTTGTTGGTAATTAGAAATGAGTCGTTAAAGTCTTTGCAAATTAAAACAAATTTGTAGTCAAAGTTTTTTTTAGAAATATTGGTCTTTTTAAACTCTGGTTAATGAGGTATTAAACCCTGAAAAAAAGTATTAATATACAAATATTAGGTCAAAAGATACCGGGGCAAAACTTTGTGTTGTGACGAAAAAATGAATTCTGAGAAAACAGGAAAAGCTTTTCGAAACATGCTTGCAAACAGCCCCTGAATGTGAAACTTTGAATCAGTGTAACTGTATAGACATGCAATTCCTGGGCGGAGTGCACCTACAGTGAATGTTGTTTGTAACTTACAGATTTAAAAAAAAAAAAAAAAAAAAAAAAAACATTAAATAGCTTTTTTTTTGTAATTTGTTTCTCAAGACGGGTTTCCTTTTAAGTTTATGGAATGGCAAGTCTAGCCTGGTATCCTGCTTGCTATACTGTACTGCTCCGGGGATGTTGTGTCAGCATGTTGGTCAAAGCCATGCCCCTGTAACATTTGAGGCCTTGGTATAAACTACTCAAAGAAGAACTAAATAAGTCCTATATCTTGTAAATTGTACATATACTAGGATTGTATATATACTAATTGTACAGCATGTAGACTAACGCTTCAATCCCAATTTTGGACAGTCTTCAACAATCGGTTTGTCAACGCATCGAGGTGTTGCTAGGTGGTGCACACATAAAGTTAAAATACCAACGGATAAACTTACCTCGTTCAAAAAAGAAGAAAGGAGAACCTGTTTCGGGCAATCTACGGCACCATTTCCCAGGTAACGCAGACGGTGCTCAATGACTTGGAGACGCTGCCGACAGATGGCGAATGCATAGAAAAACTCGCTAGATCGTCTGCTACCGAAACTCGAATTGGCGTGCCCCACGCGCCTTCGATGTATACGCTATCTGTTGGCAGCAACTCCAAGTCAGCGAGCACTGTTTGCTTCGCCTGAAAAAAGGCACTGCAGATTGCCCAAAACAGATTCTTCTTTTATTTTTTTTGAATGAGGCAAGTTTATCTATTGATATTTTAACTCCATGCGTGCACCACCTAGCCGCCGATACGTTGAGAAACCGATCGTTGCAGATCGCCCAAAGTGGGATCGAAGTGTTAGTGTACATCATGAAGATAGGAAGCTACTGGAGGCGAACAGCCTGAGGATGACCAAAACAGCTGTTGGCGCCAAGTCAGCTCTCCTTTTCGTCCAATAGCGTCTCTTGGTTTTGGTCATCGTTGGGGGCGTGTCCCTCCACACTTCTGGCTTCAGCTCTGGTGCTGTCACGTCGCCTCCAGAAGCTTCCTTCCTTCATAGTGTACATAATGTGTATAAACTAGGATGGATGCAAGAGTGGGAACACACACGGCACTTCTAACTTGGTCCTCGCGTCTTAGCGGCACAATGTGCGCATTGATGTTGCCATTGCATATCCTGTCCTTGCAACCTCTGAAGGCGTACCATTCTTTCACCTTAAATGGTAATATATGCTGTGAAAAGTAGTACAGAGGAAAAAGCGTTTTCTTCTTGTTTCCACTCGTATTGCAGGCCACGATAGCTCATTTTGTTTGCAAACGGGCATCTCATCCTTCTTGCAGTTGGGTGACTTATGAGAATGAGCGTGTGACGGAGGACCCCTTCTTTTTCTGCGACACCTGCTTCCGGTCCTACAACTACACGGCTGACAAGAAGAAGATTGGACACTTTCGAGCGGAGCCTTATCTCGATGCCCTAATCTGAAGCAAAGCTCACATTTCACGTTGTACCTCAATTTTTTACAAGGCTACTGCAATTCGAGACTCAGATTGCTTATTTATTTATTTTTTTGATGGAATTACAATTTGCAGTGATTATGTATGTTTGTGAGTGCTTAAGAAGTATTAAAGCATCCTCCTTTTATTCTTCTTTCTGCTCTAAAGTTAATGTCGTTGTGGGCACACTTGTGTTACGCCCAATTCACATTTTACTTGCGGTTTTGCTGTTGCGACGTCGCTTGTGTGGCAAAAAAAGCGTGGTGGTGGCCACAGTGCCCAATGTCGCAGCAGTGAAATTGTACACGCAAAATTACTTGCAAAATCGCACTACAAGAATCTGGCTTTTAGGGCTCAGTGAAATCAATTCTTAACTTGGGAGTAAAGCTCTGAAATAAGGGCAGAGCATATTTTTTTTTTTTATACATCATTCATGTAGAGAAATAAACTGTGCAGTACATAGTGGAGCCCTGCACAGGCATACTTCTTGAGGCTTTACCTGGCCCAGGCTCGCTGACTCGGTTTTACCCGGGCCCGGCCTGGCTGGGGGCGACTCGTCTGTGAGAAATGAAGGATGTGTCAGCCTGGTGAGATGCCAAGATGTGCCTCATCTCCTAAATCCGACGCAGCCCTGGCAGAGTGTCGGTGCACTCTATCCACTCGGGAGAAGCTATTACTGCTTCGTTCACGGCCTGGCCCACTAAGTTTGCCTGTTTCGATCTGGATGAGCATCGTACCGGTGTGCGGTAGTGTATCATTACTGCGTTGTGCACGTTAAAGACCCCAAACTGGTAGTGGTACTGCTCTGGCTAAACTTTTCATCTACACCAGGGATGGCCAGGCTGACCCGGCCTAAGAGCCACAAACAAAACCATGAAACTTCCAAGAGCCACCTAGAAGAGGAAAGTCAGAAAAGAAAGGGGGAAGGGGGGGGGGGGGGGGCAGAGCTTTGTCCAAAGTAATAAATGAAACTTGAGCTACCTTAGATCTATCAGAGTCAAAAGCAGACCAATTGCACGTAGGGTAGCTGTAGCACTAGACTACCAAATCGCACATTGTCTTCCAATTTAAATGGCGATAAATTTCTTTAGTGCTCGTGTGACTGGGAGGGAGGCGGGAGGGGGGGAGTTAGTTTTTGGGGAGCCGCAAGCCACTCTTTAACACGTAAAGAGCCGCAGCTTGGCCACTTATGGTCAACACCGTAAGCCAGCGTCGCTGCACCTCCGAGGCAAACCGACCTTAGGCTGTATAAACGAGAACATAAAATTTGGTTTGGACTCCCTCTAAGAATAAAAAGTGAATGGAAAAGTGATTGGTGACAATCAGCAAGTAAACGAAGAAATGATAGCTCTTGTGCAATACAGGAAAGAGCTCGGAGCTTTGCAAAGGGCTTCTGAAGCACATGCTGGATTGCACTCTCTTTAGGCGGTGGAAACTGATTGTCGTAGTATCGCTAGACAATTGATGAAAAGTGTAATGCATACATTTTGTTTATATTTGCATTTTTAAAGCAACTTTGACATAAAGCTTGCCTAAAACATTCTAAAAAGTGATGGCATCTCCACGTGGTGAATGATGTTGATTGGGGCGAAGCTCTGGTGGTGCTGTTACGCTGGGCCACAACATGCTGAGCTTTTCGTTCATTTTCATCCATGTCCGAAAGAGAATGCGTGGTATGGAACGTGGTTATATACGCATTTGATCATTTGACCGCAGCGCCCTCTTGTCTATAAATGTTGAGCCAATGCATGCAAAGTTTAATGCGATTATATACGCATTTGACCGCAGCGCCCCCTTCTGTATAGACGTTGAGCGGCTACATGCAACGTTTCATCCATGACATCCCCAGCTCTTGAGTTACTACCACATCTCGGAGCCCCCTACTCGTCCCGCAGTCGTGGCCGATAGGTTAAGGCGATGGACTAGAAATCCATTGGCGTCTCCCCGCACAGGTTCGAATGCTGTCGACTGCGCAAATATTTTGTTTTTTTTTAAGAAGACAAATGGGAGGGCAATTGATGTGAGCACGAACGCCGGACGGACAAGGCTAGACCCTGAGGAGCTTCGCCCCTGAAACAATATTGTAGTGATCCTGATACATCACAGAACATTGTAACTCGTTAATTGCAAATGTCGGCCCCCCTGCCCGTTCCCCATGCTGGTTCACCCTACGGTGAAGTGGAACGGACGCTACAAGCCACCGGAGCTAGTCCATAGCTTGGAGGGGGTCCATGACCTTCTGGTTGGGTGGAACAACGCAATTGGTATGCATGCAGTGCTGGATTGGCTAACATAGAATAACTGTATATGCTCCGCTTGTGGAGCAGAGTATTGCAATGGTGATCCCAGGGCGGCCATGTTGGATCCAAGGCCGCACTGCGGGAAGCGACCGTCTCTTCTGCAGGAGACCTAGAGGCACGCGTGGCTGTGAGGCGGCGTGCTTCGGCGTGCGGAGCAGAGAAGATATAGTGCGGCGACACGCCTGCCGGTCGCTGTCGTCCCGTCATTTGTCTTCTGTTTCTCTCTATGCCCTCGGTAGAACGTTGTATCCGACGAAAACGTCGTCCCTTCGCAAGCCATTGATGCGTGTTGTTTTCTGGTCGGATGTGCCGGTCGCGTAGACGAGCTACGCGATCATCCTCCGTGTCGTCTGCTTCCCAGACTTTGGAAACATGATTTAAAATATCGCTCGCGTTATAAGTAAACACGATTATACTGTACCCAGTGGCTACACATAAGGTTCAATGATCAAGGAACTTTTCAGTTCGTTCGATTCTAGTGTAGGATGTATATTTCGCAAACGCAAAGCGAGAAACAAGTTTCGCCCAAAACTCTGCGCCTGCAAGGTCGCTTTCCCGCATCACAGTTGAATACAGCTCAGCGTACGTGACCACTTCTCCACCAATACGGAGTTGGCGGCGAAAAGAAAAGGAACACGATAGTCTGGGTTAGACTAGTCTGGCTCTAGGCTAGCATGGCTTACGTTGCAGTACATCGTGAGGTGAAATGGAGTACGTAGGGAGAGGGGAAATAGAAGGTTGTGGAGAGGTCCCTGAGAGCCACTAAATAGTTACAACGAGCCGCGGCAGTTTATGAAGTTAGACGAGAAAGACTCGGCTCTCCGCTCTCCTGTCTTCTTCGGAAGCTCGGACGGACTAGGGTGCCTTCATGTGTGCTTTGCATAGGGTGATGCCAACTGCCTGTTTCCCTTTCCCACACTTTTGTCCACCGCCATTTTGTTTCTTATTGTTTCCCCGTGCGCCGGAAAGTGGCCTTTGTGTCCATCGGTACTCCCATCCGAGGGGGGAAATGCCAATCCTCCCTCCGTGGGTTCCACAACGCTGCTCCGAACTTGTGAGATAAGGTGCTTGTTTCCGGGAGGGTTATAAGCCCATGGATTATCGCGGAGGACCAAAATGGCTGCTGGTTTGTCGGCGAGTGGGATTACAAAGGGTGGCATCACCCTAGCAAAGCGCACATGAAGGCTCCCTAGGACGGACATTTGCGCATGCTGGTTCCCACGGAGCACTCAAATACACGCGCGCTTTCCGGTGTGGCGTATGGTAGTATGGTGGCGCTAGTGGCGTTTTCTTTAGGCGTTCACGTAATTTCTATGCGCAATTTTCGAGGCCATTTCGGGAGACAATAAAGTTAATTTAATTTAATTAAATTAGAAAAAATAATAATGAGGAGTTGTGTAAAAAATTACGCAAATTGTGAAAATTGTTTTTTTTTCCTTTCGTTTGGGAGGAATGGCGCGGAGGCACGGATGACGCACATTCTAGGAATCTGGCAATTGGCACCTTACGTTGCTTCCGCAAGCTACGAGATTGCGGTACGTATGGGCCACTCGAGCATGCATTGTAAATAGGGGTGTATCTCGAAACAACCCATTCTGATTTGAACCCTTCTCGTTTTAACCTTTCGCGTTTCAACCCTTTCTCATTTGTACCCGTCTCATTTGAACCCATTCTCATTTGAACCTTTCTCGTTTCAACCCATTCCCAAAACGCCTTTCGCGTTTTAACCTTTCGCGTTTCGACCCTTTCTCATTTGGACACGTTCTCATTTGAACACCGTATTTCAAACCAATCGCCTAACGCTCTGCGCTTTAACCTTTTCTTACTATTTATGCCCTTCTCGGTTAGGGTGACCACCTTCCTTTTAGCGAAATGCGGGACACGCGGGGGAGGAGGGGGGGGGGGGGGGGGGGAGGAGGAGGAGAGAATTTATGAACAAGCACACCATGAACTTAGACTCTTTTAGTACACATTTAATGTCCTGTGCTATTTATACACCTGCAAATTGTGTTGCAGCAATTAAACTAAACTAATTTTCACTCCCAGTGAAATATTTTAAGTAGAAAGCACAAAAAACAACTTTAGCAGAACTCAATGCATCAAATGAAAATAAAGAGTAAATCTTTTTCAGGTTATTGTTTCCTGTCAACGCGTAATTTTATCAACATGGTCCTACACAAATTTTTAACATGTTCTTTTTCGACCGTTGCGAGTTGCAGGCTTTTTACCTTGTGTGGCTGTCTTTGCTAAAACAAAACCCCACAGCAACCCTTTCGTATTGACACAGCGATTTGAAAATAATTACAATATTTTATATTTAAACTTTTGGCGAGTAATATTTCTTAGAATATTTTTCCACCAAGAGGGCCAGCACGGAGCATACGCGTCGGTTCTTCTGCAGGAACGACGGTCGCTTCCCGCAATGCTTGGATAGAAAATGGTGTGCCATTGCGATTCACACGGTTACCGGCGACCTCCGCGCTTCCCCATGCCCCGCTGTTAGGCAGCGCCATGACAGTATGAAAAGCGGGACATTTTGAAGATTTGGGAATTTCTTGCGGGATGCGGGACACGAGACCTCAATGCGGGACAGTCCCGCGGGACGGGTGGTCACCCTATTCTCGGTTGAGCCCGCATACTTAAATCTTTATCGTTTAATTAAACTCCGTCTCAAAACACGTAAGTGGTGTTCCAACCTTTTTAGAGTCCTCTTGAAATTTCAACCAGTCTCCTTTTCTGTGTTAAAAATAAATGAATAAAAATAATGGAGATGTTGGCACTGTTAATAACACTGCCGGCTGCTCCATAGCAATTGTTATTTGATAAAAAAAAAATAACCAGATCTAAAACAAAACGAGCACACAAACAAACAAAAATTTCGCCAGAGTTGCCATTGTACATATTATTACAATTCTAGCATGTCCGTCGATTCATTTTCGTAGACTACCTGTGCCATTGTGCACCGATGCGTACACTTATGTCATGTTCCACACCAAGGCTAACTGGCGATCGCTTACCGCCCGCATTGGCAGCATCTCAAAGCAACAGCCGCGGCAGGTCTCTCGCCCTACTGTGCACCTCGTCGCTAACAACGAGCCGCCGCCACCACTCAAGAGCATCACCAGCAGGGATCAGCAAACAATCCTCTGCCCACCCCCGCATGAATCATTTTAACACTTTTGCATAGGATACATTGCATTTGAAATATGTTCACAGAAATATTCTGTTTTTCATACCGTCACCTTACAATTAAGCGATTCGCAAAGCATTATTTCATTCAAATCGTATGGCTAATCGTTAGGCTACTGAACAGCTCTTCTCGAAACGCGTAGTACAAAACATTTTTTTTGCCGCAGAATCAGTCATCGCACCTCAATGTGATCCCATGCTCGGTAAAGCTTTATTCTGGAGCTTTGTTCCCACAAGATGGTAATTGGTTAAACTATCTAAGTTGACCGCAGCAACAAAACACAGTCCATTCAAAGGCCAGAGAATGCCTTCACCCTCCTTAGAAAGTCGCAAAGGGATATTCTGCCATCAGCAAATTGGTCCTGCGGCGATTTTTTTTTCTTCTTTTTTTGAAATGTGTGGGTGCGGTGATGCGTGGCTTGAGGGCTTTCCTACCAGGCACAGATTTTTTTCTTCATTTCAGTTGTGAATCATCGGATGCAACTTCTGCTCATCTGGCATGCCCTGTGAGGATATTGAATTATTTACAACCGGTGTCGAAGTGATCGTACAGTTCTACGATCATTGTATATTTGCCTATATGTTGTCCGCCATGCCGTGGATTAGCATGCACTCTAGATGTCATTCTCCAAGTAGCATTTCAAGGTGTAATAAAGCTTTAGGTGCCTGGACTTCATAATGTCATTTGTTCCTTTATTTCGGTTTCCTGTGAGTGTATGCTGAAGTCATTGCTTTTCCCTAGCCTGATCATGTACAAGGTTAAAATGAGAAAAGTGGTTTTCAGAATAGTCAAAAACAGAAAGTATGTTTTTAGTAAGTTTGAAATGGGAGAAAGTTTAAAATGAGAAGAAAAGTCTTTTTGAGAATGGTCAAAACCAGAAAGTATGTTTTGAGAAAATTTGAAAGGAGAAAGGTTAAAATGAGAAAAGTCATTTTGAGAATGGTCAAAATGCGAAAGTTCGTTTTGAGAACGGTGCAAGTGAGAAAGGGAGAAAAGTGAAAGTTGTTTTGCGTAGGGTTGAAATGAGAAGGTAGAAATGCGAACGGGTTCAAATGAGAACCACCCTTTAAATATACCCCCCCTCCCCTCTCTCCCCTTTTTCTTATATTTATATGCAAGACATTTCGGGTATCATTTGCACCTCTCGCATAAAACGCTGGGTGACTGTTTACGGTCTACAAACCGTGCTACACATTAGCCTGTTAATGATCGTACTGTTCGCGCTTCCGTTGGTCTCAAGTAGAATGACGTTAAATTGGAGGCATGATTGTAGGCTCATGGCAGGCCTGGGCAGAGATACTCAGAAAAGTATTCCGGGTTACTAATACTGAGATATATTAACAAAGTATTCTGGAAGAGAAATACTGAGATACATTTCTTTTTGCTGTATGGGGATATTTCGGACATACTCTGTAAAAATCGGAAAAATGTATCCGAGAATACAGATATTGAAATACAGGTACTGAAATACAGATATTGAAATACTTTTATTCCTCGAATGACGTCATGTTTTGTAAAAATATTTAAAAATGCACTATAAGCTACGCAATGACCCATAAAACGCGAGTCCGAAATGTGGCGCAAGAAACAAACAAACATGAATTTTCAAGTGAAAAAAACATCTTTATTCATGAAAGGTTCTCGCAAACAGGGAAAAATGAAGTTAATTACACTTGAGTAGGAGAAGCTTCTCAAACAGTTTGTCTTCAAGACGGCAACGGTTTGATTTTAGTACAAGACTCGCGAACGAGAAAAGTCTCTCCACTGCTGCAGAGGAGCATAAGTTTGTATTAAAACAAATAAATACCGCCTTCATGGCTGGGAATTGCTGGAGTACGGAGACGTGTTTTCTCGGATCATTGGGATAGCGGAAGACCTCGCCTCTCACGTAAGTCTGATCAGACCGTGCCGAAATCGCAAATTTGCGATCTTCAAAGTCGTAGAACCCGTGATTCAGCAAGCTCTCAAAGTCTAAAGTGTTTGCCACTTCGCTATATGTCCATCGCAGTTTGAAGAAGGGGTGCGAACAGGTGGCGAGTATCGCCTCATCATTTTCCATTTTGAAGATGATGAGGCGATACCTCCTCTTTCTCTTCGTCTCAAACTCCTCTTCTTCCATAATTGCTTTTCCTGATACGAATAAGAAACCATTATGTTCCCCAGTGAACCCCATAGAGGACAAAGAAGGACAATAGTTTCAGAAAAGGAGTGAACCCTAGAAGTTTCACAGCATCCTCTCTATGAAGGAAACCTGACGATCGCCATCAGGACATTAAACCGCTGTCCGCTGTAAAATAAAGTGGACAGCGAAGGCAAGGTTGACATTTTCCGAAAAATAGGGTTTTTTGTTTGGGCCCTTTTCATCTCGCCAATCTTTTGGTGACGTCTTCAAAACGCTGCCGACCCCCCCCCCCCCCCCCCCCCCCAATGCAACGAGATACCTTTGCCTGTCCGAGTATCGCGTTACAAGCGATACATAGCAAGTGTATTCCACTACGGAGATACAAATGCATTTTTGAAATGCATTTCGATACAGAGATACAGATACTCAAAACTATCTCTGAGATAGTATCGCGATAAATTTGTGTCGCGATACTGCTTAGCCCTGGCTCATGGCTATAGATAGCTGTGCTACTGCAACATAAGTCGGTTGACTAAACAAAACGCTTCCTCTACCGTGCCGATTTGTGCGGATCTTTTAGCTAAGGGAGTTTGAGCACATACTTGCCATTGTTGTGTTTTATTCTCTTCTCTAAGGCCCTGTTGTGTACTGGTCTGTGATGGCACACCAGCCGCGAGACAGTGCGACGGTGCACGCGAGCGCCGGCTGCTGCGGTATCAAAATACCTCCTTCCGCGTGCCCACATTCGTGTTATGGCAGCTCAACCTAGAGCAAAGTCTAGCAATTCGACGACTGAGCCATAGAGTGCCCGGTCGCAGATTTGGAGCGCGAGGATCTGGTAGCAATCAGCATTTTTCAGGGAGCCCGTAGTCATTGCACAGCTTTTGCAGCGGCGAGGACCCGAAACGTGGTTTTCAAACCGTGGTTTCCGAGATCCCGAAGCATCTCGGAGGCCAAGTTCAAACCCGACGAGAAAAGAAGCGGCAGCGTGAGGAGCATAAGCAGACATTCTATCGCTCGGAACAAGTGTGTTTCAGTGTCTCGCCGCAGCGGGGCGCCCGTTACATGCCTCTTCTCTCATCCGTTGTCTGCCGCTATACCTTTTCACCTTCGACGGCCACGTCTCATTGCGATTTGCCAGGCTTTGTCAGTATAGAGGAGGCTATGCTAGAGCACGTATATGTACCAATAAACCTTTGGTTCACCGTACTCGACTTACAGGA